TTGGATGTCTAATAACTGGCGGCTGAGTCCTTGGTTTATAGAGCTCCAATCTCCTGCTCCTCTCCCCACCTTCTCCATCTCAGGAATCACAACCCCAGGGAATTACCCAGTTCCCACACCATCTTAACTCCCCTCCCCACTCCCTGCCCACATTTAGGAATCTGTTAAGTTCCAACCCCCATGCATCCTGCTCCACCCAGTTCTGTCACACCTCCCGCTCTCTCTGCTCCCACCCATACCCAGCAACCAACTCCCAGCCCTGGGGGCTGCCAAGGATGCTCTCATCTCCCATATGAAACCTGGCCTCTGGACCACACCAAATCCCAAAGCCTCATGCTTTCCCATCTTTTTCATGGGTATGTGTTTTACATGAGTTCGCTTGAATTACACGAATCCACAGCCTGGTGCCCTACTTCACCATTACAATCGCCGTCTGAAGGCCATGTAGTACAGTGGGGCCTGAGGAGGCTGCACAGCCCCGCGGAGGTGAGTGCGGGGACCCGGAAAGACTCCCAGCGTGTTCGGAAGGCACAGCAGCCTGGGAATGGAGAGAGGAAGGCAGCGCACAGGACAGTTTCAGAATGAGGCAGGAGCAGCCTGGGAGCTGGTAGCAGATTCACAAGTTGTATTCATTTCCCCAAGTTGCCACATTTACAAACTGCCACCAACAGGGTGGCTTACACAACAACTTATATTCTCAGAGTTCAGGGGAACTGAAGTTTGAAGTCAAGGTATCAGCTGTATGGAGCCTTTTCCTCGAAGGGTCTTTGTCACCTCTTCCAGCACCTGAGGCTCTGTGTTCCTTGGCTTGTGGCCTCATCACTCCAATCTCTACCTGTCTTCATGTAGCCTACTCTCTTCTCATGGATATCTCTCCTGGGTGTCTCTTACAAGGACCCTGCCCTTTGGATTAAGTGCCCTCCTCAGGTAAAGGACCTTGAGATGAGGTCCCTTACTTAATTACATCTACAATGCCAAGCAAGTTCATGTTCACAGTTCTACAGAGCAGTCTCCGCTCGAGGCGAGTATCAGCCCAGCCCATGGGCAGCTCTGGGGACAATTTCCCTGGGGTCAGTCCCTCCGAGAGGCCAGCTGCCAGTCCTCTGAATCATGTGTCCTTCAGAGCTCAGTCCATCCCTGGGCCACAGAACCCGTGAGCGTGATAAACGGTGGCTTGTCCCTCAGTTTTGGGGAGTGTGTTACGTTGCCACGGTAACCACCTGGCTTCTAGCCCCATGCTGAATCTGGCTCAGATCCCACTTCCTGACCACCTCCTCCTCTCTGCTGCCCACAGGGTCCTCAGGCGCCCCCAGCTTCCACGCCTGGGGCTGCCATGGTTCTGTCTGAATCTGGAATTCAGGGGTATTTCTGTTCTGAGCACGGATGTGACTGCTGAGAGCCAGGTCAGAGACAGGGTGCGGCTGTTCCATGCCACCTGCACCAGAAGTCTCCTTCTGGAAGCCTCCGTGGTGGGGGCTTTGCTCCCCAGTCCTCCCTCCAAAAAAACGACAAAAGATGTGACTAAACTCACCGGAGGTATACAGAATGTCTTGTGAGCACACAGAGGTCTACACCATTGAACTTGAAGGATGGCCACCACTACAGCAACAGTGACAAGCACTGGCAAGAGCGTGGAGACGCTGACACCCTCGTGCACAGCTGCCGAGAGTGGAATACGGCTCTGGGAAAGCCTGGTAGTTTGTTTAAAAAAAAAAAAAAAAAAAAGATCAAACTTTGTCATGTGACCTAACAATTCCAACCTAAGCCTCTACTCAAGAAAAGTGAAGACATGTGTTCCCACAAAGCCTGGGACGTGTGTGATCCCAGCTGCTACAAAGTGGAAGCCCCAAAGTGGAAGCAACCCACTGCCACTGACAGCTGCTCACCTCAACAGATGTGCAAGCGATCTGGCCACAGGACCATGTGTCAATATGAAGCTTCCAGAACAGGTGAATTTCTGGGACAGGGACAGAAAGGCGATTGTGGTTCCCAGGGCCATGGGTGGGAGCAGGGGTTATGCACGGGCCCTACCAGGGAGCACTGCGAGGTGACGGCATGCCCGGCCTGTGCACTGTAATTGCCCCTCTATGAGCTGCACGCCAGTCACTCCCAGCCTCCGAGGGCAGAGAGCAGAGCAGCGGCTCCGTGGAGAAGGCGGCCATGCTGTCAGAAAAGGCAGCCAGCCAGACATGGAGAGAAGCAAGCTGGGGATAATTCACCCGGGACAGTCTGTCCTGGATGCTGACTTGGCCACATCTCTGCCCGCCTGTTAGAAGTCCTCCTGCCCATTCCACTATTCCTCCGGCAAAGAAGTTTCCAGACCAAATAAGGCTGCGGCTTTTGCCATGCTCCTGGCCCAGACCACAATTCCTTGTAAGTGCCAAGGTTGTAACTCGGGCCCCAAACCTCCCAGAGAAGCCCAATGCCCAGCAGCCCATGGGGTAGTGCCCCAAACAAACCAAGGTAAACACAGCATTGGGCCCGGCCTGCTGCAGTCCTTGGCCCACCCTTCAGGGGCGGGCTGTGTGGCTTGGAAGAAAGCCAGGGGCCCAAGAAGGAGCAGCTGACCAGTTCCTGGGGTCCTGGACGTTCTTGCTTCTGCCTCAAGGGTCATAAGGCCATTTGCTGCCCCCACTGTGGGGGAGGGGGTTACTGCGGCCCTGCAGCTCCCCTTCCGTTGCAGCTCAGCAAAGTGGCAGTAACAACAGCAAACCTAGTAAAAGCCAGGCACCATTTCCAGGGCCTTGCATACAAAACACGTTAAATCTTCACAACGGCCCTGAGATGGGCCCTGTTGTGCCCTCATTTCACGGGTGAGGAAACTGAGGCACAGACCAGGTAAAGTGGGGAATGAACCAGGGGCCATTGCCATATAGGCCTCACCACCACTGGCAAAAGAGTCAGGCCTCCTCTGGGGGCCTCCATGGAGAGGAAGAACCCCCCCTCCCCACATCCCAGGGATCCCTTGACTCTGTTGGGCGGTGTCCTTTCTGAAAGGCTGGCTACTGTCCCAAGGTCAGCCCCTGGGCTGTGGAGACATTTGGGCTGGGTCATTTTTTCCTTTTTTTTTTTTTTTGCGGTGGGTGGGGAGCATGGGGAATGCTAACCTGTTCAGCCAAACTGGAGGACATCTTTTAAGCAAGTAGCTAACATTTTCCTAACAAGGTCTCTTGGGGCTGAGAAATGGAAAATTTTGTCGCCACCTACAACTCTGCCATTTAAAAACAAGCATCACTGACAGGAGCAGCAGGCAGGGGTGAAGGGGGGAGCTCTGTGTGGGGGCAGGTGGGGTGTGGCAGGCACATGCCAGACGCCATGTGGGCACTGCCATAGAGTCCACTGACTGGGCATGCGAGGTACAGGGTAGCTGGCAATGTGATGACTTCCAGCCCGATTATCGATGAATGAACAGGCTCAGAGGGGACATGACTTGCTGAGGCCACATATTATCAGGCGGTGGTGCTGGCGCCCAGACTCGGGCTCCACCAATAATTGGAGTCTTCTTACGCTTGCCATGCTGGCTGCCTTCCTTGACTCAAGCTCTCTGGTGGCATAGCCCAGGGAGGAACTCCTGGATGGAGGTGAGGGCTTGGGTTCTAATCGTGCTTTCTCTAGTGGACACTGACTCCGCACTGCCTCCATGAGGGAATGACCCAGTGAGACAGATAGCTGTGGCCAACACTGGATCAGCAGATCCTTTGGCAGCAGGTGACAAACCCACCACAGCCTTTATTCAGTAAAGAGATACTGTGAGAAAGACAGAGTGGTCAGGTGTGGCTGGATCTAGTGCTCCAATTCTGTCATTGGGTCATTCCCCTCATAGACAGGTCTCTAGAATCAGGCAGGGTGGCCGCTGGACTCCAGGGGAAGAAGAGCCAGCATCTTTCTCCCAGCATCCCTGTGTGAACCCGAGCACAGCTCCGATTGGCCCTGTTTGGATTCTGGTCAATCCCTGCTGTTGCTGAGGACATATGCCACCTGTGCTCCATCCAGGGGTCAGGGCTTACCACCAAGGTCAGGGAGACACAGCACGCGCCCTTAGCAGGCATACAGCCCCTACACGCTGACCACGGAGCGAGTGTCCACACAGCAATGCACTCCCTGCAGGTCAGTTACACCCAGTTCCTGCTGCACTGGGGGTGGGGGATGAGATAGGACAGGAGCTCTGCTCACTGTGCAGTCACCCAGGCACCACTTAGTCCATGGCAGTGTCTTCAAGGGACTGACTACACTCCATACAGTACTACAATACAAATACAGCAAAGTCCTGCCCTCTTTCCTGTCCTGAACAATTCAGTCCCAAGCCACTCATGGTAGCGAGCAATGAAGGTGCTTGTGAGAAGGGGAGAGGGTCCCAGTGACCCTGGGCAGGGTGGGGAGGGGCAGAGCAAAGGGGCCAATGTGTGCGGCGTGGTAGGGAGGTCAGTGGAGGAAGGTGCTGAGGAAATGGCCCTTGGAGGACAGTGGCCTAACAACAACCCCATGCGCTCCTGGGACTGAAGCCAAAATCAGGGACACAGATACCAGGCCAGGGAGGGACACAAGCGGTCACACATGGCAGTTAATAAGTGAACAGAAGATGGAGCACTGAGACTGCAATAGGAGGGAGGGGTCAGGCCCAGGCTGCAGGGAGGAAGAGAGCGCAGGGAAGGCCACCAGCCTGGTCTCCTCTTCCCCTTGGCAGCTTCAGGGAGAGTCCATGTCCTTCCACCCCACCCCACCCTCGCCCAAAGTCTCCCTACCCTGCTCCCATCTTCCCACCCAACCTTTCACAGTGCTAAACTTGCCAATTTGAAACTCATTCTTGTTGACAGAAAAGTCAAGCCACCTGCCAACAGGACGAGAATGTCCCCAGGGGTGGCCCTGCATACCCAAGCCATCCTCTGTGTCACCTACACCAGTGCTCTTGCACACCTTGAGGTTTGCAACCGAAGTCTACTCGCCCTGTGCACGGCACCCATGCCAGCAAAGTGACACTTGAACGAAAGGGAAGCTCCTTTTGTTGGGTATCCCACAGACATATGCATGCTTACTTCACTTTAAGTCCTTTATTCCTTGGAGGTGCTCATACACAGAACTAGCAAAGGATGCTTGCAGGGCCCTGGGTCCATGGGTGTCAGTGACCCCAATGATCTGGGCAACTCCTTCCCAGGAGTTGCAGGGTCAGCCCGGCACAGAGGGGCACACAGGCCAGAGCCATCCTAACATCATCAACCACTGGGCTCACAGGAGTTGTGCCCGCTGCCCTGCAGGGACAGGGAATGAGGAGGACAAGGAAGGCAACCACACAAAACGAGGGGCCAAACGAACTTCTCTGTGTAACATTCAGGGTCTGGGCTTCCTCACCCTCCGGTCACCTCATCCTCAGGTATTGAGGTGGCAGGTGGGGTGGGCAGTCACTCTGGTACAGCCCAAGGAAACTTGACCTTACCAAGATCCACAGGCCAGGACTGGGAGGAGCAAAGGTGGGACGCACAGTGCGTCCTGGCCCACGCACCAGACCAAGCAGGACGGGCCAGGGGCCACCAACTGATGCATCAGGGCACTTTCCTTCACCTCTGCCAGTCTGGGAAAGCTCGTCCCTGGCCCAGGCCTCTACCCGCAGGGCCTGGTGGACACAGAGCATGGGCCTGATGCGGCGTGGCTGCAGTTCTTCCTTGGGCTGCTGTCCCTCCCAGGCCCATGGAGGATACACGCTCACGTCCCCTTCCCCTTCTCCTTCCTCTTACTCGTCCTCTGGCTGTTGAGCTCACCCAGCTTCATGTCCAGCCTCCTCTGCAGCTGGGCCCTCCTGGCTGGGTCCAGGGACCTGTCCTTGGTACCACTGCCTGCATAGAGGACCCCTTCCCGGCTGATTCTCTGCCGGGCATGGGCACGAGCCTTCTCACCGCAGCCATGAATCTGTAGAGGACACAAGAGAACTAGATGCAAAGTGGGGCAGGAGCCGCAGATCCACCGGCCGTGACCTGGCACCACGGGCCCCATGCAGGACGGGTCAAGCTCCCTCCTCCTCACCCTGTGCGTTGCCACCCTGAGGGTGCTCTGTGGAGAACAGGGGTTGAGTCCCTGAGCTGGAGCCCCTGGAGAGTATGGCAGGGAAAGGGCACCCCACTGACCACATGGCCCCTGTGGCCACTCCTGCTGCAGTGTGGCGATGTCACAGCCCTGCTTATACCTTCATGGTGCCTGCTACCTGCTGCCTTGAGAATCGTACCTGACCACCAGGCCCAGCTCAGACTCCCCTCCTAGTCTGTCTCCTGCTCTATCTAGCTCCCCAGGGCCACTCTCATGTCAGAAGACTTGCCTGCCACCATCACCCCACACTCCCAGCCTTCCTCCTACCACCCACTCCCACCCCTGGGGTTTTAGCACTGACTGCTACGTCCACACGGGCCTCCCACTACTGCCTGAGATTTCTCTGGGAGTGCATGGCAACCTGTACCATCCCTTATGGTGGCCTCTTTCTCAGACCATCCACCAGGCCCAGATGCCTCCACTACAGAGACAGGCCTGCTGTAGCCCCAGAAACTCCAGTTCCCCAAACCTGGCACGGGGGTTCTCCTCAAGACCCACTCAAGGAATGAATTCAGGGCCTCAGTCTGCCAGCCAGAGCCTCCTCCACGCCTGTGGACCCAAGTTAACCATCAACGGATGGAACTCAGGGACACAGGCAGGTGCTCTGCCCAGAGCTCCCATTGATGCAGCTGTCACTCAGCAAAGGCAAAGGTGGCACTTTCCTTCCTTGGCTTGTTTGGTTTTTTTGCAGTACTGGAGTCTGAACTCAGGGTTTTGTGCTTGCTAGGCAGGCATTCTACCACTTGAGATCCTCCCTTGTTTTTTAAATACGTCCTTGGGGAGGCTGGGGCTCAGAAGGGGCTGGAATTTCCAGCTGAAGGCTCCCTACTGTCCAGGCAGGTGGACAGTTTACCTACCTCAGGCAGGTGGTGGCTTAGGCAGTAGCGGCGGCCACAGAGCTGGCAGAGCTGGCCCAGGGTCACGATGCTGGCTGAGCACTTGGCAAAGCTGCAGGTGTTGTCAGCCTTAATGGCAGCTGACACCAGGGCGTCAAAGTCATCCTCAGCAGGCAAAGCTCTGGCCGGAGGTGCTGGGGAGACAGCATCGCTCAGGCAGGTGGGGAAGACAAAGACCAAAACACTCCCACTGGGCACCAGGAGAAAGCTGTGTTCAGGTGCATCCCCCCACTGTGCCCATGCCTGGCCCCCCATTCTGGCTGACCAGAGCGTACAAATGCATGTTCAGTGGGACTTGCCCTCCACCCAGGCTGCCAGGCGCCCTCCACTTGCCCTTGTTCCACACTGAGCTGTTAACCCCAAACTATTCTACTACCCACAGAGCAGTAGGCACCTTGGGGCACAGGGTGGGTGGGCAGGGCTTCCAGAAATAGATGAGCAGGGAGAAGGCCTTAGAAAGCATTCCCTCGTTCATCTGGAACCCCTAAATATGGGGTGGTCCCTGTGACACCAATAGCAACAACAGCTGGTGGAATGGCTCTAGGGATAGAGCACCAACCTAGCAAGCACGTGGCCCTGAGTTCAAACCCTAGTGCCACCAAAAACAAAACAATTGCAACAACAAAACTCAAACCCATGCTAAAGCCTAGGGAGGAACCAGTTCCATGAACTCCAGCTCAGCTCATATTTATAACCAGACGCGAGACATTTTCAAATTACAGGGAAAACTCATGCGTGGAAAGATACCCAGTGTCACGTGATGATGGTTCTGTGCCACAAACATGCGTCTCCAGACATGAAGGTGCACAGAAGACAGATGCAGAAGCAACAGTGTCACAGGTGGGCTGTGGGATGGATGGGCAGGAATGTATCAGTCCCTTCAGCAGGCAGTGCACTGAGGTGCCGGGGCACAACAGGGTCAGATGGTCGAGGTCATCTGTCTTCTGTGCACCTTCATATCTGGAGACACATGTTTGTGGCACAGAACCATCACCACGTGACATCAGAGGGGGGGACAGGGGGAGGAAAGTGTCCCTGGACCAGGGTCCTCCAGAGACCCCAGCTGCTTCTCTTGTGGCCACCTGTGTCTGGGCCCCCATCCCCACTCTAGGGCTGCATATGGTGAAGCTGTGCTGTGCTCAGACACATGGCCTGCTGGCCACCCAGTCAGGGGAGGGAGGGTGCTAAACCCTGCCACACCTCTAGGAGTGGAACCAAGGGTCCTGGAGAAGCCTGGAGGAGGTGCCACGCTGACTGCAGGTACCCTGCTCCCTGCCACAACTGTCCATGGCAGCACATGTCCTCAGAGATGGACCAAGCAGTATGTTCAGGCCCCAGTGTAGAGTGAGGAGCAGAGAGCACAAGACTGTCTCACTGCTTCCCATTACCACATCCAACCCCCAGCCACAGCTGGAAGCTCCTGCAGGGACATGCAGGAAACTGGCTAGGGCAGCCTTTGCCATGGGGGAAGCCTGAAGCCACTCAGGCCACCTCTGCCTCTCAGTTGCTGGCTAGGATGCTGGCACAGGGCCTAAAGCCCCACAGGTGGCAAAAGGAACTCTAAGGGTGGCTTCCAAAGGTGGGTGATGCCAGTACCCATGACATAGGGTGGGGCACACTACTCTTTCTAGGAAGCCAGGTCCTGCCGTCACATGGGCTTGGCACTGTCCACAGCAGGGACCATACTTGCATTCACAGCTTAAAAAGCAGCAAATGGCTCTCTCTTGAGCTGGCATCCATCATGGTCACTAGCACAAAGTCTAGTGACCCCTGGGTGCAGCAGCTGCTTAGTGAACATTTGTGATGTGAAGTCACTGGTGCCTGGGCTCTGGGAGGTGGGTTCTGACCCATCAACACACTTTCATCACAGGAACTAAATGCCTGAAAGGGAACCAACCCTGAGTGGTCTTCTGACAGAAGCACCCAGAAGTGTCCAGAGAATCCAGGCTGTGGCCAACAAGATCTACATGCAATGAGCCAATGCGCGCTTGGCTGCCCGAGGGGCCGGGATCACCCCAGGGGGTGGAGGATCAGTGCAGGACGAACACTGCACACAAGCCCACCCCGGAAACTGGCACGGCCTTATACAAGGACAGCCCTCTTGGCAAGCCTGCAGGTAGGAGCCCTTGCCCAAGGCGGCTTCCACAGTGACCCACCATGGTCTCACAGCACAAAAGCCTGGAACTCCTTCCTATCCCCAGGCGAAGGCTGCAAAGCACCCTGTGCTGCATAAGCAAGCCAAGGACCTCCTCCAGGCTCTGGGGACAAGAGCATGCCCAAGCCTCAGCCATGCCAGGGAGCCCAGACCGCGCTGGGGCAGGAATCGCAGGACGGAGGTAAAGCAGGGACAGAAGCAAGAGCCCCTCCTGACCCCGTCCATGCATCGGTGCCTAGCCTGTGCGTTCTGAGGATGGCAAGAGGTTTAAGGTAAGAGGACCCCACCTGTGCCTCTAGCGTTGACGCCACTTACCCTTTGCTTCCTTCTTTTTCTTCTTTTGTGGCAGCTTCTGCGGCCCTGAGCCCGCCACCAGTTGCCCCTTCTTGGTTGGCTGCTCCTGGCCACCTTGCTCCCTCTGTGGCCTCTCCAGTTGCAGTGCCTTCTGATCCAGGGGGGCCTGGCTGCTCTGCTCTCCGAATGGCTGCTCCAGCCACACGTGGTTGGGGGGCGTCGGGGGGAGGGGAGCAGGGCTTCTCTTGGTCACAGTGATATACCTAGCCTTCCCTTCCCCAGCACTGACATGCTGCAGCCCGTACTCCTCGGCTATCTGGTGGACCCGCAGCCTGTCATGGGAATTCAGGGATGCGGGGAACCCCAACTTTGTCTCCTTGCTGGCTACAAACTCCGCAATCACAGCCCTGATGCGCTCTGTACCATCTGGTCCTCCCACATTGAGGCCGGGTTGGGAATTGGCTTCAGAGTTCAAAGGCTTTGTGCCCAGCTTCCTTCGGTCCTGCCTGGCAGCTGCTGCGGCCTCCCGGCCACCCTCCTGCCACCCACTTCCAGCCTTCCTGGCCAAGGAAGCAGGGCCTCGGGGCTTCGCAGCTCGACTGTGGCCCTGAGAAGCCTCGTGGGCATAATTTTCAGGGACAATGTCTTCGAGATACTCAAAGGCTGTGCGGACTTCCCCATGCTGTGTGAAATAATCCACCAGGGTCTTCAAAAAGGCATGGTTGGTGACAGTGTGGGAGTCACAGATGACCGCCACATGGCGCCGTGCACGGGTCACAGCAACATTGATCCGCCGGTCCTCAGCCAGAAAACCAACTTCACCTAGAGAAGGTCAGAGGTGAGAGGAGCAGATCTAAGACCAAGAAGCAGGAAGTCATCAGGACATTCAGGGAAGCTCTCCATCCTCGGCGCTCCGGCAGCCTCAGAGCCCACAGTTTTCACATGCTTTCCATGAGGCTGCTGGGTCGGCCACAGGCACCGTAGGATGACACCATGCCTGTCCAATGTGGTTCTGGACAGCAGCACTGGTGTGGGTAGCAGCTCCCAGATGTCACCGGTGTCCAGGCGAGCGTGGACTCCTCCCCAAGCCCAGATTCACAGGCAGCCAGAGCACAAAGGCCTTCCCCCTTCCTCCTACTTCCCCCACATCCTCTCCTATGTCCCAAGCTCACTAATAGCAGCTGTTTCTGGGTGCAGTGCTCTCACTGTATGGAACACCAACGACCACAGTGGCATAGCTGAGCTCCATCCCCTTGACATGGCACCCAGGCCACTTCTACCCTCCTCGTGCTCTAGCCCATTCCCTTGCCACACTCACTCATACCTCTGAGCCTCTGCTCTCTCTTCCCTCTGTGAGGAACAGCACATCCCTCCCCTCTCCCAACAACCAGGTGACAAGAGCTCATTCTGGGAAACTGCTCAGGTCACCTTCCATGACACCTCCTGCCTGCCTAGGCTCGGCTGATCCCCAAGGAGTCCCATCAGAGCCCTCACTGGCCTGTTCACAGAGCACAGGGGCTGTGCCTGGCCGCCATGCTGCCCATGCTCTGACAGGACTTCCTACCTTTCCTGTTGGACCTGACAAAGGACAGAATCACGGCCTCCTTCTCTCGGCCTTGGAAGCCATCCACAGACTTAATTTCAAGCTCGGGGTGCTTGTGTGCAAGGCTCTGTCTGAGTAAGTCCACCTGAAATATGGAGCAGGGTCGCAGCTCTTCACCTCCATCATGCTGAACTGGTACAGCTGGGAACCCCACCAGAGCAGTCACCATGACCACCTTCTCCCATGCGTGCAAGTACCCAAACAATCCATGCAAGCTGTCAGACAAGACCCCACCGGGGACTGTATTCTGTCTCATCTCATGACAGCTGCTGGCCTTGACAGCCCACACATGATGCTGTGAGCATGAGGGGACACTACTTCCAGAATGTGTATGCTGCTTGGAGAGGTGAGCAGCAGTTTGGTAATCACCAAACAAGACAGGGACGGGGACATGGCCTGGCCAGGCCAATTAGCTCCAAGCCAAGGCTCTGGAAATGCTGAAAAAGGACAGACTGCTCTACTAGGACTGCCTGTGGGACAGGGTCCATCTGAGGTTGCTGGAGCCACCTAGGGATCCTGGCCTGAAAACAAAGCAAGCACTGGGATGAGGACAGGGCAGGGCACAGCAGAGTGAGATAGGCAGATGGACAGATGGACTCTTGCCGATCCTCTATCCAGTCAGTATGAGGTCAGCACTACTCCTGGCCTTTTTGGTCACAACAGTCAGTAAGTTACTCATTTCTTTAAACCTCTTTGAGCTATCTAAGCCCCAAGTGACATAGAGAAAAGGGGTCCCTTGTACCTGGAAGTTGTAGGGTGCAATGACAGCAATGTCACCTGCTTGGACACCAGCATCCACCAGAGCCTGGATGTGCAAGGTGACGAGGCGGACTTCACCTGGAGGGAAGAGAATGGTTGTTAACGTGGGGTGTGTGCTGGCTTCGGTCACTGATGATGGCGGAGCTCTTCCACCTGTCATGAGGACCCATCCTGCGCTGGGCCTAAGGCTGTGAGCGTCCTGGGAACTGACTACCTGTATTGGAGAGGCACCAGGCCCAGCAGACGAGCAGAGGACGCTGGCTAACTTGCATTTCACATGAAAGGTGGTGAGCCAGCAGCCCCAGAAGTAGAGCCAGAAACAGGTGTGCTGGCAAGTAACAGTCTCGCCACTAAGACAACCTGGCACTGGGCCAGCATTCAGGTGGGACAAGGCAATGCTGCCAGCCCCTCGATGCCCTGCCACCAGGTCACCCAGCCCGAGGTGTGTAAACACCCCCAGTCCCAAACCTCCTGCAGCTCGCCGAGCACTTGTTCTCTCCTCTGCCCTCCCCTCGGTGCCTCTCTGAGCCAGGTCACCTCAACTTTCAGGGTCCATGTGAAGACTCACACAGACCCTGGCCAGAGAGCTCACCTGGGTTCCCCTTTGACTGACTGTCATCCTCCTCCAGCTCAAACAGCCCACAGCCAGCAGTATCCACAAGCAGCAGGGGGATACTTGTCTCCTCCGTGGCAGCCACACCTGGGAGGTCCCTGGCACACAGGTGGACAGAGAACAGCACTGAAGTCCTACACAACAGCACTGGTTCTTACCATCAGGACAACAGAGGGGCCAGGCCAGGCACAGTGGAATAGCTGGTGCTTGGTGGATCTGACAGGGCAGGAGGAGGGGTGGGCAGGTCACACTCACCTCAGGAGGCGCCCTGCCACAGACGGGTGAGCTGTGAGCTGCCCGTGGTACATGGCGTCCGAGGCCCAGCCCATGACAGCTTGGTGCATGCGGTACTGCATGGTCAGTGTTCGCACCACGCTGGCACCACGCTCCTCAGCCAGGCGCTCCATCAGGCTGAGCGACAGCCCCTCCAGTGCTGCCCTGCACCCAAAAGGGGAGGAATGGAGGAGATCCTGAGTGCACAGGCAGATAAGGGAAGCTGTCCTCAAACTCCAGGACCCAATGCACACCTGGGCTCCCTCTTAAAATAAGGGTGGGGTCAGCTGAGTCACAGTCCCCACATCACCTGCGTCCTGATCACCAGGACCTGAAACAGATAGGGAGAGGATCTTGGAGCATCCAGGTGAAAATCACAAGGGCCCCAGAAGCGGGAGACCGGGTCAGAGTCAAGAAAACTCTTCAGACTCTGATCACATCTGTGCTCTTGCAAGCCAACAAGGTGGTGGTGACATGTCACCGCACAGACAGAAAACTAATCCAGGGAAGTTTTAAAAAATCCTCTACTCTCTCTAGCAGAAGGCAGTCCACCTCTACTGACAGCCAGCATGAACCCAACACCTCCTCACCAGGCACAGCTTTGAGAACCTCCTGCGAGTGGACTACTCAGCCCCACCACAGCCTCGAGGTGGCTGCTGAAATAATTCCATTACACAGAGAGGTTAAGGTAGCAGCCCGAGGCTGCCCAGCCAGGAGCCACCAGGCCACCCTCTGAGCTCTCCAAGTTGACAATGGCCAACCCTGTGTGAAGGTATCCTGTTCCACGTCAGACCTCCTCATTTGGAGACTGAGAGGACCTCTGATGAACTGGCTATTAACAACTGGTGATATCTGGCCCATCACCACCAAACAACCACAGCCCATGAAGTGAGGAACCACGGTAACTGCTAGCCCCATCTGCAATCCCAGACACACGCAGTATGGCCAAGTTCCCAACTTACTATGGGGACACACAGAGTCCCATTCCCCAAGGCACAGCCCAGACTCTCCACACAAAGGTGCCTAGAGAACAAAGCCCTCTGCCAAGAATACCTTGAGCGGGCGGCAGACGCTGAGCTCGCTGCCCCAGCCCCCACTCTGGACCCCGTCCTTCCCCCGCCAGGACAGCCTTGCACGGTTCCCCATTGCGCCTCCACCCACCACCCTCCCGAATCTGAGGAGTCCTCTGAGGGACTGCTCCTATCTGGTCCTCTGGGGGATCCCGTCTGACACTTTTAGCAACACATTTTTCTCCGGTTCTAGAACACAACCAGAGAAGTGGGTTCAGTCAGGACCTCTGCACACACAGCAGTGCAGAGCTGGTTCTGGACAGCAACAGAACCAGAAGAGCACAGCCCTCAGATGAAGGAAGCCAAGGCGCAGTGTCCACAGCAGCTGGGCCTCCAGGCTGCCTCTTTGGACATGTGCTTGTCTGTCCAAGAGTAACCCACATGCCAGGCCCGGCTCACAGGCACCACAGCTGACTGCACAGATGAAGATAAGCAAATGAACAGAGACACGGGACAGTCCAGGGAGAAACTGTGGGAGCAGATACGGAACTTGGGCTGCCATGTAGACTGGGTGGTATGGGACACCATGTGAAGGTTACCTCCAAAGGGAGTGTGGGGCTGCCCAACAGCCAGGGGAGCAGTGGTCCAGACAGAGGGGACAGGGAAGCAGATGGGATGGGGAGTCAGGGAGGACAGAGAGGCAGGAGGAACAGTGAGGCCCAAGGAGCCAGTATGGCCAGAGCAGTGACGAGAGGCACCAGCCAGCGACAGCACTTTCTCCATTTAGGGAACATGCACTTCCACAGGGAGAATATAATAGGGTCTTCAGCCTCCGTGTCCTCTGCCAACAGTGCCCACCTATGGGACTCCAGAGCCCACATCAGCCTGTGAGCTAATCAGCCCAGGGGCCAGGGAGCCCAGCTGAGAGGGTTCTCATGGTGCCACCATCAAGCCTGCTGATCTCATCAGGGGACACATGACACAAGCATCCAGTGAGCACTGAGAACATGCTGTCACCATGCCAGGTCCTGAGGCCATAGAGACAAGGGCAAGTCAACTTGCACCCTTGAGGAGCACACGGCCTACAGACCAGCCATGTAAACAAGTAAATGCAACACGGGGAGGAGCTGCGACTGAGAAACGTGCAAAGGAGGCCCCCAGAGAGCCCGGGGCATCTGGGCTGGGCCCCAAAGGGCGGCGGGGAAGTGACAGCAAAGGCGCCGCAGGTCTCACTTGTGAGAGATCGTGGTGGGCGGCAGCTGCTTGTGATCTCCAGCCAGGATGCACTTCTTGGCCTTCAGCAGAGGGATCCAGCAGCTGGCCTCCAGGGCCTGAGCGCACTCATCAATGACCACCATGTCAAAGTGGCTCTCAGGCAGCAGCTTCAGAGGGCCGTCAGGAGACGCGCCTGCTCGGAAGGGAACCACGCATCAATAGAGGTAATGGCTGACTCACTTCAGCTAAACTCACACCAGGAAATAGGCGACAAGCCAGTGCTTCACGACTGGGCCTTGCACTAAAACTGTGTGAATGCTAGGGAAGAGCATTACTAAGTCCATGGTCCCGCCCACCCGTGTCTGCATATAAAGCGCATCTTCTGAGCGCAGGCTGCTCTGAACATCAGTCACCAAATTAATCACCCCCTGGGCTGTGCCAGGTCCCTGGAATGCTGTCCTGTTCCCAATGTCACATCTGCATCATTTTCTGAATTGAGATTTTAATTAATTCTCTGTCAAGGTTTCTTTCTTGGACATGCAGACACATTCACCAGGAAAAGCCTCTGCATATCTGGCAACTCAAAGCCACTGCTCCTTACCAGAACAGGGAGCAGGGCAGTGGGAAGAGTCCAGGCATGAGCAGGACGTGGGTCCTGCTGGCCCTGGCAAGCCGAGTGGGCCAGAAGTGAAGCACCTACTCGGCTCATTTCCTCAGCTACAAACGGATGATGCCCACACCTCACATAATGAAAACTGGCACAGGGTAGGCTTAAAGATGCTAGCTCCTGCCTTTCTCCCCTCTGTTAGAGTGAATTATGTGAAAGATGCATGTGTGAGTTTATGGCAAAGACACAGATCTCAAGAGATTTCCTGAGACTGACTGTAGAGACAGCTGGGGAAAGCTCCAGGAGGACAAAGAACTCTGACCAGGCTTTGGGTAATTAGGATGTGCTCAGATTGTGCACCTGACTTCACAGTGCAAAGAGAAACCAGACTTCTTGATGGGAGCACTTTCAGGAATTCATCCCAGGTCCCAATCTTAGCCAGGAGGGCCGCCAGTGGATTTTGCAGTGTGAGGGTGAGGGCTGCAGCCCTGAAAGCCAGACACGGTGCTGTGGAAATGGCAAGTGATGACCTCTGGGAACTCAACACAAGAACACTAGCAAAATAATCAGAATTGACTTTTCCAGATCTCTGGAAATTCACCAAACCTTGCAGTAATACAAGGAGTGTTCACTCAAGAAAAATGGCTAAACTCCAGTAAGTGAGCTCCACAGCACTTACCCTACCCTGTTCCCAAGTGCCCTTTCCCACCCTTCTCTTGCTATGTACCCTTGAAATCAGCAGCCTGGCCACCACTGAGGGGCCAGGACAGAGTCGGCGCTCCTACAGAGCCTCACTCCCAGAGAGTGCAATCATGACACCTGTCTTCTGGTTCCTCAGGACATGTCCAAGAACGTCTTGATCTGGCCTGATGACAACCAAAAAGCTAAAGGGAAAGGCTGGCAAATAAGATGTTCTCATTAGGCTTTTTTTTTTTTGGGGGGGGGGCGGTACTGGGATATGAATTCAGGGCCTTGCATTCTGCCACTTGGGCCACACCTCCAGCCCCCCAACAGAGGACTGTGAGAGGCCCTGAACTCATCCTGTGAACCTGGAAGACCACAAACACATGCAGCACTGTGCACATGCTGAGGAGGGACCCTTGGAGCCCAAGCTCTAGCCTCAGGCTCACATGAGGCTCTGTGCAAACAGGAAGTAGAGGCTGAGTTGTAAATAGCCTGGCTAAGTGCTGAAAGAGACATCCAGCAAAGTGAGCTCCTGCCTAGTTTCAGGAGCTTGGGGTTCACTGCCTGACCACTGGCTGGCACAAAACTGAGGGGACTTTAATGGCCACAGAGGACAATGAATGCAGACTTTGCAGAAGCCATTCAGAGCAGTCACTAAAACAGCCTCAACAAGCAGCAACACAAAGCACAGGCACTGGTGACTCACGCCTGTAATTGTAGCTACTTAGGAGGCAGAGATCAGGAGGATCACAGCTCAAAGCCAGCACCAGCAAACAGTTTGTGAGACCCTAGCTTGAAAAAAAACCCACCACATAAAAGGGCTAGTAGAGTGGCTCAAGGTGTAGGCCCTGAGTTCAAACTCCGGTACCACAAAAAAAAAAAAAAAAAAAAAAAGTACAACCCACACATGGGAAAAACCAATTGATGGATATTGTTCCTGCAAAAAGTCCAGGTTGGTCTTACTAGACAAACACAGAATACTTCAAGCAGCAAAAGGAAACCAAGTCTAAAGAAATAAAGGAGCATCATACCTGACCAAATAAAGATAGAAATTACTTAAACAGAACCAAGTAAAACCCTGGAGTTGGAGGTACGAGAGGGTTCAACAGAGACTGAGCAGGCACGAGAGTAACCAGCAGACCGGAAAATGGAACAACTGACATTATCCAGCCTGATAAACAGAAAGAACAAAGAAGGACGGAAAACAAACAGAGCCCCAGAGACCTGCAGGACACCATCAAGAGTATCAGTATGCACATAACATGAACCCCAGAGGGAGGACACAGAAAGGGCCAAAAAGAGTATTTTTAAAAATAATGGCTGAAAACTCTCCAAAATGTGATGAAAACATTAGTTCATTAGTTCATCAAGAAAGTCAACAGACACGCGATTAGATCAAAGAGACACTAACCTAGACACATCACAACCAAGCATCAAAACATAAATACAAGCCCAGAGGTGGTGACACAAGTCTGCAATACCAGCACTTGGGATATGGAGGCAGAAAGAAAGAAAGACTTGAGAGCAGCATGAGAGAAAACTTGTCACATACAAGGGTCCCCTCTTTGTAGAAGATGAGCAGCTGATTTCTTATCAGAGCCCATGAAGACCAGCAGGCAGTGAGTAAGTCTCAGTGTAGAACAAAGCCATCCTCAGGAGTGAAGGAGAAATTAAGATATCCCCAGACAGAACTCATTGCTAGCAGGCCTGCCTCTCAAGAAATACCAGAGTCCTTCAGGTTGAAGTGAAAGGACCCCAGACTAACTCAAATCCATGTGAAGACACAAAGAGGACTGATGAAAGCAACTACACAGGCAAAGACAAAAACAGTGTAAAACAGAGGATGGTGTGAATGCATTTGTGCTTAGAAGTTTTCTTCCTTCTGCTTGAGCTAAAACACAACTGGCTAAAGCAGTAACTATAAAGCCTACCAGAGCCTGGGCTCTGCTCCTTAGAACAGCCCACCATCTGAGAGATCGCAGCAAAGACACTCTCCCTGTGAGGTAGGCAGAACCTGAAACCTGCTTCTAACCAATAGAAGGCAGTGGAACAGCACGACCTCAACACATCACCGAAGATTATAACCTGTCTTCCTATGAGACTGCCTCTTGCTCGCTTTGAAGACATGGTCATGCTGGGAAGGCCTATGGGGCAAACAGCTAAGAGTAGCCTCCAGCCAAGAAACCCAGTTCAACAACCCAGAAGGAACTGAATGCTGCCAGCAGCCACATAAGCTTGGAAGGAAGTAGATCTTTTCCAGGCAAGTCTTAGATAAGACTGCAACCCCAGCTTTCTCCTGATCACAGCCGGTGACACCCTGAGCAGAGAGCTAGCTAGGAGATGCTGGACATCTGACCAGAGTGTGCAATAATAAATGTATGCTGTTCTAAGCTGTTTTACTTCTGGTAACATTATATGGCAGAAGAGGAAGAAGGAGGAAAAATAAGGAAGGGAGGAAGAGGGGGAGAAAAACAAGACTCAAGTCAGGTGTGGTGGTACACACCTGTAATCGCAGGAAGGCTGAGGCAGGAGAACTGCATGTTCCTCCAGTTTGGGAGGAAGGAAGAGGAGGAGGGAAGGAGGAGAAGGAAGGAGAGGAAGGAAGGAGAGGAAGGAGGAGAAATAGCATTTTTTCAAGGCACAGGACAAAGCAGGTGAGCCCCGAGACTGCTTGAGCTTTCTGCCTGGAGTTACCAGGAGGCAGCCCAGAGGAAAGGAGCCTGGAGGGCTCCCTGAGTTAAGCAGATGGGATGGAGAGTCCCTGGAGATCAACTCAGCCAACCTCCCATGACAAATACCAACCACATTGCCACACAGAGAAAACCCTAGAGCTCTGCAGTGACCACTTTGGGAATTCAGCTGAACACTGATCAACATATGCTTATGAGAAAATTACCAAAGGCAGGAAATGTTATCCAAAACAATGAGACAGCTGTGTCCAGTGCTCACGAGGCTGGGTATGGTGCCTAATCCATCAGCCAGAGAAAACCTCAGGACCCATGGTGTGCTGGTAGAGAACCCACAAGGGTCTTGCTTCAGAGTGGGAAATACTAACCCCAGACTAACTCTGTTCCAGACCCTACAAATCTTAAAAACAAGACCCAAAAGGAACACAATGTTTACTAGTGACTTACTGCCTCCCAGAATAAAGCTCAAGAATCTTTATAGCATACAGAAACATCAGGTATGCAACAAAATAAAACCCACACTAGCAGGTATACAAAGAAGCAGGAAAACACACAAGTGTATGAGAATGAGAACACTTAACAAAAGAAAATGAAAAATGCAGAGATGACAGAGCAAGTAGATCAGAACACTTGAAGAGTTAATATTCCAAACTACAGTGCAAGTGTTCAAAAAGTAAAGGAAAAAAACCAAGGATACAAAAAGACCCAACTCTAACTTTTGGGTCTCAGAGAAAATTATATTAATGGGACAGATTTGACAAAAAAAAAAAAAAACTGAAAACACAGCGATCAACGGATTTAAAGGTTCGACTGTAGAAGATGTGTACATCCAGGTTGAGGGTGGAGCTCAAGGATAGAAAGCAGGCTCACCAGACACAAGGGCCTAGCTTCAATCCTCAACATCAAAAATGAAATGAACAAATTCTAGAAATCTGTTCAACACTATGTCTAGAGTTAACAATACTATAGTGTACACTTAATTTTTTTTTTTAACAGTACTAGGGTTTGAAGTCAGGGCCTATATCCTGAGCCACTCCACCAGCTCTTTTTTGTGTTGGGTTTTTTTGAGATAGGGTCTCATGAACTGTTTGCCTGGGCAGGCTTCAAACCTCGATCCTCCTAATCTCTGCCTCCTAAGTATCTGGGATTATAGGCATGAGCCATGGGTGCCCAGCTCTACACTTAAAATTTTTAAGAGGATACATTTCATAATCAGTGTTCTTACCACGATTAAAAAAAAACATATGGAGTTTGACTGATTAAAGTACAATATATTTACAGGAAAAATACCAAGGCAAACCCTCACTGAACAATGAACAGACACTTAAAACAATGGAGTACAGGAACGTAAACCAGGTCATGGTAAGAAGGGTCCATGCAGACTGAGGAGGGTAAATGAAGAGGGTTAAGGGGTAAATGTGTCTGAGGTACTTTCTACATGGAATACTGAAACCTGCCAGACATTTTAAGAAGAGGACTGGGGGAAGAGGAAGAATAGTGCAGGGGATGAACCAAACCAGGATACAATATATGTACATATGGAAAAGTCATGATAAACCACCTGGATAACTATCATATACTAATGTAAACTTAAAAAAAAAAAAACACTACAGTGAAAGAAGCTACCTAAAATAAGACTCAAAAGAATGAATCAAAAAATGTGAAAAAAAAGCATCAGTGAGCTGTGGGACAATTTCAACCAGCCAAACTGAAATACTCCAAGGACAGGAAAGGGGAACACAAAAAGGTATGTGAAGAAATAATGGCCAAACATTTTCTAAAATTAATGAAAACTAGCCAGACACTGGTGGCTCACGCCTGTAAACCCAGCTACTTCAGGAAGCAGAGACCAGGAGGATCACAGTTCAAAGCCAGGCCGAGCAAATAGTTTGTGAGGCCCTATATCAAAAACATCCATCACAAAAAAAGGGCTGGTGGAGTGGCTCAAGGTGAAGGCCTTGAGTTCAAACCCCAGTACCACAAAAAAACAATGATGAAAACTGCCAGGCTTGGCAACACACACCTGTAGTCCCAGCACTATGGAGGCTGATTGTGAGTTCTAGACCAGCCTTGGCTACATAGCAAAACACTGTCTCAAAAAAACAAAACAAAAATATGAATAATAGTAAACTAAAATTGATGAAAACTATAAACCTGTAGGTCCAAGAGGCTCAATAAATCCAAGCACAAAAACATGAAGAAAACTCCACTAAATTACATCAGAGTCAGATTCTTTCAAATCAGTGACAAGAAAAAAATCTTAAAAGTAGTCAGAAATAAAAGACAAAGAATGGCAACAGATTTCTCTTTAGTAACATGCATACTATGCATGTTACTATCTATAATTGCACACCCAGCAAAAATAGCTTGCAAAGCTGTAGGTGAGGTTGTTCTCACTCTCACTAAAGCAAAACAAAACTGTAGGTGAACTCAAAATATTTCCAGATATTCCCTGGCTACAGATCCATTATCACAGGAAATGTTAGTGGCTAACGGGAAATGTCAGCACAGGGAGCTATTGCATCTAAACAAAAGGAATGCAAGCACCAAAATCCCAACAATGTGGGATAATCTATAAGCATTTCTCTTATTCTGAAAACATCTTTAAAGATAATCGACCACTAAACCAGTAACAGGTGTGGTGAGGTAAACAGTGGGCATCTAAGCGAAATATGGTAACAAGAGCACAGTGTTGGGAGGAGCGCCCAGCACCCTGCAGTGACACTCTCACACTACCATGAGGAGGAAGAGTCCCCTGGGAAACAGATCATCCTAGCTAAAGCCTCAGGCAACCATTAACATAATCAAATACAGAGTCAGCTAATTAGCCAGCAAAAACAAAAGCAGATCAGAAGTCATTAGTCCAAAGGAAAGCGGAAGAGGAGAAAAAGAACGGAAAACAGTGAAACACAAGGCTTGCACCCAGCAGTAGTAAATACAAGCCTTCCGAACATCCCAATTGATACTGGGCACTACGGACAAAAAGTCACTCTGCGCACAGAGACGAGCACATTGTAAGTAAAAGAGTGGGGAAAGACACTAGCACTAACATTAACGGGAAGCTGGGCAGTGGATGGACCTTGAGAACATGATGCTGACTGAAAGAAAGCCAGTTACAGAAAGACAAACACTAGCTGGGCACAGTGGCTCACGCCTATAATCCCAGCTACTTGGGCAGAAGACATCAGGAGGACTGAGGTTTAAGGCCAGCCTGGGCAAATAGTCCAGAGACCCCATCTCAGTCAGTAAGCTGGATGTGGTGGTGCCTACCTGTGGTCCTAGCTAAGCAGGAGACACTAGGTAGAAGGATCACGGTCTGAGGCCAGCCCTGGAAAAACACAAGAATCTACCTGAAGACTAACTGAAGCCAAAAGAGGCTATGTCAGGGCTCAGGTGGCAGAGCACCTGCCTAGCAAGCACGGGGCCCTGAGTTCAAACCCCAGCAACGCCAAAAAAGACACACTGAAATGCAGCATTTGAGATAGTCCAACTTAGAACCAGACAGTGCAGTGGTGGTTGCCAGGGCCGGGGGAAGGGGTGAGGGGACGAGGTGTTCAGTGATAGATTCACTTCTGCCAGATGACAAGGTTCTACAGCCCTGCTACACAACACACACACACAGACACACACACACACACACACACACACACACACTCATCGCACCTGCTCTCAACACTTGCAAACACTTGCAAAGGTAAGGTGGTATCCTGGCCACTAAGCAGAGTCTCAAGAAGACACATACAAGTCAGTCCCAACCGAATGGCGTATGAGCTGCCTTACACTCCACACAGAACCATGCTGAAAATTAACATCAGAGGTTGTACTTGGCCGGGTGCTGGTGGCTCATACCTGCAATCCTAGCCACTTGGGAGGCAGAGATTGGGAGGATCACGGTTGAGGCCAAGCCAGGCTGACCAGAGCAAAATGGACCAGAGGTGTGGCTCAAGTGGCAGAGCACTGCTTTGCAAGCACGGAGCCCTGAGTTCAAACCTCAGGCTCACCAAAAAAACTGAAATGTATCTGGGAAATTCCCAACTATCTGGAAACTATATAACACACTTCAAAATAATCATAAGTCAAAAAAGAAACCAAGATTTCCGGAAAAAGAAAAACAAAAAACAGAGAAGAAACCAAACAGCAAATTAACATTTTTAAATGAATGAAAATGAAAACAGAAAATTTCAGAATTTGTGGGATGCCAAAAAACAGGAGTTAAATGCTCGTATCAGAAAAGAACTCATTTTCCACCTAAGAAACTAGAAGCTTAACCCTGTAAGCAGAAAAAGGGAAACAATAACGATAGCAGAGAAATCAGAAGTTGGGTCTTCAGGAAGACATGAGACCTGCCGCAGAAGCTAAGAGGACATGAGGTCGGGAACACCAGGAGCGCAAGGCCGCTGGGGGACGGCACAGACGTGAGAGTATGGGGAGGGGGCAACTATATGCCTTACGTTTTCGATTTCTCGAAAGAGACTCACTGGAGAGTGACCTGAATAGCTCTACATCTAGCACAGAAACTGAGTATGAATTTGCAGTTACAACCCCTCTACAAAGAAAAATCTGGGTCCACAAGCTCTCCTGGGGAATTTCAGGAAGAAAGGATCCCAATCCCACACACACTCTCTGAGAACAAAGAAGGGTCTGTCCCTGAGGCAGGCCACACTGGCACACAGTCGCTCTCACCGGTGTTGGTGGCGAGGACCACGTGGGCGGAAGTGAGGCTCTGGACCATTGCTGCTTCTTCCCTCTCCTTCAGCTCTTTTCTCAGCAGCTTTATTTCATTTCGAAAATTACTTTTCTCTCTCTTATCCTGGGTCTTCTTGCTTCTTACCTGTAAGGGGAAGCAAGGAAAACAGTTGTTTCAACACGACCTCGTGCTCTTTCTCACTGTATTCATAATTGGTGGCTCCTTAGAAAACCCTAAGGAAACTTCCTTGCAAGAGCCTCAGTGTACATGTCTGACAGAGCGCCAAACACCACAACCTGCCTCAGAGCCAGGTGGCCTCCAGGGAGCACCTAAGTTCGGGGTGGCGAGGCTGTAAGGAGGTGTTTTAGCTGAGCTGAGGCAGGGCTGTGGACTGCAGCAGCTGACAGAGGCTGAGCCTCACTCACCAGCCATGTTCCTTAAGAGATTAAATAACTGTTTCAGCCTGTACAATGCTTACCTAACCCAATTTACTTTAATCCCTCAAAAAGACCTGAAGGTCTTGCCTTATTTGTGAGTTCTGCTTTGGAGAACATGGTTTGGGGGGAGGGGGAGGAGGATGATTTGTCATGTCTAATTTACAAAGAGGCAAATTCTAGAGCAGTGACTTCAACAGGAACAAGACAAAGGAACCATTCACACTGTGATGGAGCAAATAACACCACTGCACGCCCTACACCACCTGTGACCTTGAGCAGTGAGCGCTTGTCCTTGTTCCAGCCTCCTGAATACGCCAAACGCATCCAAGGCTGCATCCACAGCTAGCTGGCTGTCTGCACGAGGGTAGCCTGTATTCTACTGGCCTGCAGAAAAGGCTGCCGGACTCCCTACAGCCATCACTGCCCCAAGGTGAGGCAAGTCCCAAAGGAATTCACAGGAGGCAGGGAGACGGCTGAGGAGCAGGCACAGGCCAGGAAATGAGGGAAGACACATGAACTAGAGAACCAGGGCTCAGGTGATGGGACCACAAGGACCACCACCTCCTTGGAACATATGACCTGCTCTGCAGGCTGCTGGCATCTCCTATCACAGGAGAACAAGTGTGCACAAAAGGATTCGGGAGGAAGCTGATTCCTTGACTCTTTATTTTCAGGCTGCTTTTCTTCCCTTGCTGTTACCAGTTAGACCACATGACCAGATACCAGGAAACACTTAAGAAATGTTTTCCTTAAAATGACTTCCCACATACTCTCAGACCCCATGAGTAGCTGAGTCCCTATGACGTGGGCATCAAAAATGAGCAGTTCAGATGGGCACCAGTGGCTCACACCTATAATCCTAGCTACCAGGAGGCAGAGATCAGGAGGATTGGGGTTTGAAGCAGCCCAGGCAAACAGTTCTCATGACCCTATCTCAAAAATACTCAACACAAAAGAGGGCTGGCAGAGTGGCTCAAGTGGTACAGCACCTACCTAGCAAGCATGAGGCCCTGAGTTCAAACCCCAGTAGCACAAGGAAAAAAAAAGAGCAGTCCAAGGCAGGTGTGGTACACACCTATAATCCCAGCTACTCATAAGGCAGAAGCAGGAGGATCCCAAGTTCAAGAGCCAGCCCAGCTAAAGTTAGCAAGACTCCATCTCAAAAACAAAATATAAACAAAAGGGCTGGGAGTGTGGCTCAAGTGGTAGAACACTTGCCTTGGGTTTAATCCCAGTACTACAATAAACAAAGAAATGAGTAGTCTAGAAGTCCAAAAACGGCCAGTCCAATTTTTTAAATCAGTAAACAAATTGACGAGGCAACAGAAAGGCAGGAGGAATACTAACGGATACTCCTTAAAGATCAGAAAGTCCACACCAGGGGGACACTGGCTCTGCAATACATACGAAGATCTGGTCGATGTCCCTTCTGATGTCTGCCAGGATCTGAGCACTGTCACCGTGTGCCAAAACCACATCGAGGGAGTGCTGTTGAACGGACTCCAGGAGGCGGGCAGGGTGCCCGAGGCGCAGAACCCGCTGCTTCCACTGGGCCAGGCGCTCCACCAGATTGTCCACGGCAACATTAGAGGGAGCGCAGCACAGAACCTGGGGACACAAGCTCAAGTTAGGGTTTCGTCATTTCTTCTCTGATTAGACCACCTGAGTTTACACTAAGCCAAACAGAACGCCAAGAAGGAAAAGAGAGAAGGGCGAAGTGGACACAACTCGTAACATTACATAGGAAACAGGAAGCGCCAACAGGGTGTGGACAGCCCAAAGGACACCCAGCACTTCGACCCCATGCTCTATGGATAACCAGGTGTATACCTGCAAGTGTACTAGTCCCCAAAGCCCCCAAAACTGTTAAGTGACTTGTGACTGGACTAAAGAGACTCAAAAGGACACAACGTGCATGGGAACAAGCAGGGGCTAGGGCCTCTATCACGCAAACCATTCTATCATCAGACAGAGCAGAAAAGCGGGCTCTCTGAAGGTTCCATCTCGCTTCTGCACCTGCAGGCCCACTATGAGAAAGGGGAGACAGAAAGCAGCCCCTCTCCATGCCTGCCATCGCCTCCACCTGCACTGATGTGCCCAAAGGCCCTTTACACAAGACAGTGAACACAGTGTGCCGCTCTCACTTTGTCAGAGACAGAAGCCACCCAATTAAAACTGCCATGTCTGTGTCCCGCCACTAAGTCACTTTTCCTCACTGGGCTCAAAAATCCGCAAAGCTGTCCACAACACAGAGTTACAAGACTGACAGTTTTCCCTATAGCTCTGAAGACTACTGACAGCTCTGCTGGATCAATCCTAACTCTGCCGCCACTACCGAGTGACAAAGCACCTGACTGCTTCTTGGTTTCTCTGTCTATAAACCGGGGCTCATACGCAGCCTGAGCCAGTGCCCACCTCCACAGCAGCCCATCACTGCTCCATTGCTCCTCTGCTCCTCACTAGCCAATGCTGCTGTAAACAGAGGGAAGGTTTGAAGAGGCTTTCCACACGCTCAGGCTGGTAAGGGCTTGTGCTGATACAGACAAGGACGAAGGATCCTCTCCCAGCCATTACCACTATAAGCGAACAACCACGTGCGGTATTATTGCCACACCTGCAGAAGTCAAGCATCTGTGCCGCCTGTGTCCATCACATCAATCAACCAGACTGCAACTGCACTGGCCTCTCTGCTGGACACAGAGCGCCTGAAGGGTGATCAGGCCCTGGTCACCTCCATGCCACCAGTGCAGACCTGAACACAGGGCAGGAGCACTGCGAGTGTGATGAGGAGCAAGTGAGGGGGCGTGGCCTGGTGGACAAGGGCTGTAGGAGACTTTCCCATCACACAGGCAGCCATTCCTGGGCATGTTCCCATCTCAACATACAAATGCCCAGCAGTGTCCCTGAACAGTCTCAGCAAACGCAGCCAGGACCCTACCGAGTGCCCACTGGACATGGCAGTCCTGGGGAGGAGGTTGTGCCTGCCACCCACCTTGAGGCCTCGTCCCACAGCTTGCAGGATTATCTCCACCACAGTCGTGGTTTTCCCAGTGCCAGGAGGTCCGTGGATGATGGCAAGTTCTTTCTGGGCCAGTGCAAACGAGACTGCTTCTTTCTGGGAGGGGTCCAGTGCAGTGTTGTAGAATGTCAGCGTGGCTGCAGAAGAAGCACCTTGTAAGACCCCCACACTCCACCCTCTACTTCCTGGCTGGCTATGCACAACGGGAAAAGTGGCACACATGGGAGTATGTGTGACTCCGGGGCAAGCAGAGCCACACAGAAGTGATCTGCTCAGTCTCAAAAGAAGATGTCTCCTAAAACAGGAGCCAGCAAACTGTGCCATATCGGCCCACTGCCAGTTTTCCAAGTTCTACCAGAAAGCGCCTTCCATTTGGTTACTTAATGCCTGTGGTGGAGACTGTGGCAGCAGGGCAAGGCCCAAGTCTAAACACTAACAACTTCCTCCTTTATGGAAAACTGCCCAACTCCTGCTCTAGAGTAACACACTTGAAGAAAATGTTCCTCAGAAGGTGTCAAGTGCTAGCATTTCATCCCTCTTAAAAATGACCAAGACAAAACCAGCCTCATTAATTGCAGGATCGAGTCTCTGTTTTGGATCATGGAAAAATTCAAAGGACTAATGAGGGGCTTCGTATGCTCTCTGCTCTTGAAGCAGGCACCACAGTGACTGGCACTGTCCCCAGAACTCATTCCATGGTGTCTTCCACCCAGAGACATCCAACAGCTTAGAGTGCTGAGCTCGTAAGTAAAACGTGCCAGTCTGAACTAGCAAGACTGAAACAAACATGTAGAGCAGTCACAAGAGTAGAATGTGAGATGCACAGAATCCAAAGCTCCAGCACCTTCTACACCACACTATTTCCTTTACATAATAGCTAGAATCAAGACACACCATGGTCCTGAAGACACAGTTAACACATTTCTAAGTCAGTTTTCAGGCACTGGAGCCCTGTTGTGAATACCTGGCAACAAAAAAATATTTTGAAATGTGGTTTTAGCATTTCCAAAGGAAAATGCAGTGAGAAAATGAGTACCTACAAAACAAGAGGCCATGAGGGGCTGCAAACTGAAAAGTGCCATAGAGCAGCCCATGTTGCCACAGCCGACACACAAGTGGGGCGTTAGCACAGGCACACAGAAATGGGGGCAAGGTCAGGGGTAGAGCACATGCTTAGCATGTATGAGCCCCCTCCCAAAAATAGGATGTGGCAACTGTTGCATTAGACTGGACCAAAGCCATGCTTTAAAAAATGACAAGAGTCATCTACAGAATTGTTAACTTGTGGGCAGACACTCAATGAACAGTAAACTCCTCCTGAAAATGAGGTAAAAACTTATGCTCCTCCTGCCTCAGTCCCTCGCCCCACCTCTACTCCCAGTGACGGGAGTGTGCACCATCTTAAAGAACACTGAAGGGTATGGAAAGATGTGCTATGGCCAGGCACTGTCACTCACACCTGTAATCCTAGTTACTTGGGAGGCTGAGATCAGAAGGATCAAGGTTTGGGCCAGACCGGGCAAATAGTCCAAAATATCCCGACCAAAATGGACTAGTGATGTGGTGCAAGCAATAGAGGGCCTGTTTTGCAAGAGTGAGACCCTGAGTTCAAACTCCAGTATCAAAAAAATTAAGAAATAAAAGAAACAAATAAAAAACAAAAGGACCAGGGACATAGTTCAAGTGGTAGAGCGCTTCCATGCAAGCCCTGGGTTAACCCCAGCACAGAAAGAAAGAAGACAGGAAAGAAAACATTATTTAAAAACTCAGTGAAATGAACTGCTTCTTCAGCGCCGAGTGCAGAGATGATGGCCTTGTTCATGCCAGTCATTCACAGAAACATGGCTGAAGATGTTAAGGTAAAGGTCTCCCAAATGTGCATTCTCAAACTCGCCAAAGCTGCCCCATGTCGCACTGTCCTTGATTTCAGCAGCAATGTAAATTCGAAACCAAAAAGACAAATTCTCACATGTGTCACGGGCAGGACTTGGGGCAGATCCACCAAACAGGACCTCAATGAGCGAGGACGCAGGCCCGACGTGGTGCTTCTTCAGGGTAATCAGAGCCCTGCAAGGATGAGAGCCCAAGTGAGGAGCTCGGCAGCCAGCAGGTCAGCCCGCCACCTCACGGAGGGCGCACACAGGTCCTGACCACATGGGGTCGCTCTCCACCCAGCAGAGGGAAAATTTAAGACCAGCAGGCTTCCAGCCACACACTTACTTTTTCATTCGCTTATAAGTGACGTCATTGGCAAGCTTTAACAGTCTGTAGGAATTCTCTCGGTTCAGGCTCAACTGGAAATCATGGGATTCATCAAAGGCCACTGTGACTGACCTCTGGGTGATGCGGGTCAGGATCCCCGAGGCCAGCTGACCACCTTCATTAGCAGCGTTATCATATAGACCCACGATGTCACCTGCAAAACCCAAAGCTCAGTTGCATAAAACACTGAAAACAAAAAAACCCAAATATTACTGTAGGAAATAAATTCTGGTATATTACAATATTACATTTTTGTTACTTTCTTTTTTTCAATGCTGGGGATGGAACCCAGGGCCTCCCCCCATGCAAGGCAAGTGTTCTACCACTCAGCTACATCCTCAGCCCATCTTTCATACTTTACTAAGTGAAATCAGTAGCAGTAAAAAAACCAATGTTGAACCAACACCTGAATCATGTGGAAATGTATCTGACCTCAACGAATTGTTCCAAACAAGCAGGACCATCAATGCAAGCCTTAAGATTACAGTAAAAACCTCACATTAGGAGGGGAGAAGTAAGGCCAACCACCTGCCCCGTGTCAGTGCCAGGTGATAAGGGACAGCAAAGCACAGGAACGGACAGAGGGGCGGGGCTATTCTAGAAAGAGTATAAGCTGGCAGTATGGCCAGCAGGGTGGACACTGGGTAAAGCGAGGCAGATGCACACGGGGAGGAGCGCTCTGCAGGCAGAAGCAGCACACAGGTGTAGGAGGGGCAGTGCGTTTTCCCCTCTGCCTGTGATTGTGGCTCATGTCACCCACCCATCAGGTGAGTCTGAGGAGGTTCCTTATCTCACACCCCCACAGTGAGGGCTCAGCAATGCAGTGAGACTTGTGCCTGGCACCTGAATGGAACCTCTCACCCTCTCAAACTAGACTGGAAGTCTGAAAGGGCACAAGGCAAGAACTGCTCTGACACGGTGCTGAGGAGGAAACTGGCCCAGAATAGGGCAGAGCCACAAAACGGTATAAACTAAGTCCTAGTGCCCTCCCTGAGCCCTGCAGCCACAAACAGTGCCACTGCCCTTTCTGGCTCAGGCCAGTCTGTGCAGGTTTTGGTCACCTGGAACAGAGGCAGTTCTGAGGGAAGCAAAATCAACTCAGATAAAAGGCAGCCACCCAATTGTTCACACCCCTTATCTGAAATCTATATACAGTGAGCCCCATCTGCACCTTTGATCTCACCTGTCTCCTTCCCTAACTTTATAAAGACAATGCTCCTTGGGGGTGGAGGCTGGGCTCTGTGGCAGGGACCAGACGGCCACATGCTGCCACAAAGGATCCCCTTCCTACTGCCATTGTCCCTCACCCCACCCACCCCGCCCTGCATTCTGAACCACTGAGATTTGAGACTGCTCTCTGGAAGGTGGACAAATAACCTGCCCTGGGTATGCTCAACTGCTGTGTCCACCCACCACCATTTCAGCTGCTTTTCCACTCAAAGCCTGCCTCTGCTGACTTCCTGCTGACTAAGCATGCCGTGATCTCACAGGTGAATTGCTCCACAACACTCACTGAGTGGATGTGTAGCTTTACCCTGAGGTTTTAGCACTCACCAGCCACCTCACACACACTCAGTCCTGCTTACTTACTCCTGATGTGACAGCAATGCCATAGGTACCACTGCTCCCTGTCTTTGGAGAAGAGGTGCTGACTCCAGCTCACATAACAAGAAGATCAAGGGGGAAGGGCATGGTGGTTCGTGCTTGTAATCCAGGCTACTCAGAAGGCATAGAAGGATAGTAGTCCAAGCTGGCTCCAGGCAAAAATGTGAGCCCCTATCCAAAAAAGAAAAAACTAAAGCAAAAGGGCTGGGGGCACGGATCAAGTGGCAGAGCTCCTCCTAGCAAGTGCAAGGCCCTGAATTCAAACTGCAGGACCACCAAAAAAATTGTCAAGATGTCAAGCTGTGCCCGGGTCTGACTCCCTCACTGCCTTCCCTGCTCCCCTCATCTCATCTTCTACAAATCCAGCCAAGACTCCAGCAACTGCTGGGGCAAGAGTCTGAAATTACGATATAAAATCAAAAACTCTGTCACCATCAAAGCAAGGCAGAGACCTTCACAGGGAAAAGCACAGCACCGACAACACTGCTGTCTCTGGGTTTCCAGGGCTGGTGTCTTCACAGCACTCCCGGTTTGCAGTCTAGACTCTTCATCTGGCCTACAGTGTGGCTCAGTGGTAGAGGACTTGCCCAGCAAGCTCAAGGCCCTGGCTTCTGTCCCTAGCACCCCAAAAAATAAGCTGTCCTACCCTTCTGGCAGGGCTGGCACATGCTTAATCAAAGGGTGAGAGATACTTGGCACTCTAGAGCCACGCACACCACACATTCAGCAATCTGTACCCATTCCGCTGCTTATTCTATAGAAATGTAATGAAAGGCCTATGTGATTTTAAATTTCTCTGACACCCATATTAAAAAATTTAAAAGAATCATGTAATTGCTTTTAATAATAATTTTACCTAACCGAATACATGAAAAATATGATCATTTCAATATCAATATTCAAAAAAAATTACTCCTTAGCTATTCCCAACTACTTTTTAACTAAATCTTGGAGACCTGGTATGTAGTTTAGCCTTGTAGCACATCATTAGGTGTGAGTCAAGTGTTCTAAAAACTATGTGTGGCTAGTGGCTCCATTTTGTGCAGTGCTGATACAGACAACACAATGCCTTGCTGCCCAGCGAGGCCTGCCGTCCAGTCTGGGAGCACAAGCTGCAGCCTGAACACCAGCAGTGCTCACGGCCTACCCGCATCACTCATCCACATACCAGAAGTGAAGCTGTTACTGGGAAGGACTGGTGCAGAGCCACATCGGCCAGGCTCGAAGGTGACCACAAGCTGTCCACACAGCCCCGTGCACTGGCTGGATACCTGCAGCTTCAGCAAACACACACCCTGGCTCTGGAGTTCCTTCAGAGAGCTGTTCTCCTGCCAGAACCTGGAAGACACCCAGTACCATGCTTCAGGATTTGTACCTTGACCAGGTTCTACTTCTGCCACACAAGAAAAGAGGGAAAGGAAGACAAATCTGGGCACAGGTGGTAAATATGCCCCATGGGGGTCTTGAAATATGCTCCATTCCCAAACCTGCTCTTCCCACAGTCCCTGGAGCAGTTCCTGCCAGACCCTGACCCTCCTTCCAGTTACCCAAAACAAAATCTTGGCACCCCAGTCTCTCACACTCAATGCCCAGCCCAGATTCAAGGCCATATCACCATTCACTTGGACTAAGCAGAGCCTCCTAACAGCCTTGCCTCTGGGCTCTCCTGTCCCAGGGCAGCACTGCCACCTGAGGGTGCCATGTGGTCACCTCCCTGGCTTGGCCTCAAAATCTGGGGCATGCTCTGCAACAGTACATAGAGTCAGCTGCTCAGCATGGGCACTGGGCCCTCTCAGCCCCACCCCTGGCTGTCTGTGCCAGACAGGTCAGAGCCATGGCTCCAAAGTCCCACCACCATAGAGGAGGAGCTGGGATTCTGCTAAGTCGGGGTGACTGCGATAAGCCCATCCAACCCTCAAACAGCCACGGCCTGACCTTAACAGGCCACCCACTTCACCTGTCTCCGCCTCTCCTTGGACGGAAATGACAGTGACAGAGGCCTACTTTGTGGGGATGGCACGGGGCGTCAGTGGATGGATGCCTGCTAACCCGTCCCCATCCTGGCACGTGTTTTCTCCATTTGCAATCCGGGTCTCTGCCGGCTCCCACATCTCCTTTGAGAACGTCCTGACCCCCTCACAAGCTAGGCCCCCACTTTTCTTCTGCGAGAGGCCAACCTGACCTCGGGGGACGGCGCTCTGCCCTGGGTCCCTGTCCACTCGGCCTGACCACGGGCGGACTCCGCACCCCGCCCGTCTCGCCGGGCCCGCGGGGCGGAGCGGGACCAAACAGCACCGAGGACCGTACGCCCACAGGGAAGTATCGGGGCCCCAACGGAACCGGCTGCCCGGAGGCGACCAGGTGACCGAGCAGGAACCGGACGCGGGGTCGGGAAAGGACGCCCCGCCAGGCTGTCAGCCGAGCCTCCCGAGGGACCGGCGCCCGCTCGTACCTGCGCTCCTGCACCTCCGCGTCCCTCTCGAGCTCCAGCAGCTGCAACTGTTTGGTCACGAAGGTCTCCACAGTCGCCGAAGCCATCGCGGCTGCAGACCTAGGCCCGCTGTCACGCCGGGCCGGTGTCCCCGCCGGACTCGTGTTTCTGGCCGGGCTCGTGCGTCGACGCACGAAGTTCGCGCCGCTTCCGCTTCCGCTTCCGGTCGCGGCTGCAGGAAGCATGGCGACGGCCCGGGCGGCTTCGGCCTTGGTGGGCTCCTTGGGGCGGCTAGTGTGTGCGTGCAGCCGCAGTATCCTGGCAGCTTCGGGGTCCGGAGCCGGTGAGACCAGGGCGACCGGGTGAAGGGAAAAGGCGAGGCGAGGGGTCCAGCTTGGTGTCTTGTGTGTCGATCGCATGCGTGGTGAAGGTTGCGCGGGACCTGGAGGTGAGGGTTCAGACCCTGGATCCTTCACGTATAAGCTTAAATACTGAGGATGGCCCTGCAGCCTCTTTACAGGACCCATACACAGAGCAGCAAACTGAGGCCCCTTGAGATACACCCGAAGGTGCTGGAAACTTAGGTCCACACAAAACCCTGAACAGGTGTAAGTCTATCCATCACCACAAAAATTTGGAAGCGATACAGCTGCCTTTCAGGAAGCGGGTGGTTAAATTAAGTAGCACACCCGTACAGCGGAATATTATCCATTCTAAAAAGGGATGAGCTATCAAGCCAGGAAATGACCTGGAGAAAACCTAAATGCACGTTCTAAGGGAAAGCTGCGTACCCTTTGGGATTAGTAAAAACATCAGTGACAGCCGAGACATGGCGCCATACCTGTGCCCAGATCCGCAGAATATCAGCCCCAAGAGTGGCTCTAATGCAGACTGTGGGCCTTGGATGATAATGACATGTCATCATAGACACACAGAATGTAGTAAATCTGCTTTCTGAAGAAAGCTAGGAAGTCAGCCTTGTGGGTTCCTGGTGAGGTTGGGGAGCGAAATGTTCCAGCCAAGGGCAAGACTCCAAGCTGGGCATGTGCCTGGTGTGTTCCACAATAGCAAGAAAGCCAGCGTGGCAGATGCAGGTGAACAGGGAAGGGCAGGAGAAATGAATTCAAAGAGACCATCAAACAGCCCTGCCCTTCAGGCACTGCAAGGAAGGACTTGTTATTCCTACTGAGAGGGCTGCATGATCTGACCACCATGCTACCAGAGGGAACCCAGGGTGAGAGCAGGGTGCTGACCATAACCCATGCAAGGAACACATTGACTACTCTTCACTTGTCTCCCTCCATCATGAGCCAGCAGGCTTGCTGATAGGTTGACTGAGAGGTGAGACAGAAGGTCAAAATGACTGGGGTTTGGGGCCTCAGCTGGCAGGATGGTTTGCCATGGTGTGCAATGGGAAGGAGTGGGAGAAGAAGACAGGGAATCAGGGCCTCTGTTATTCTTATGGTGCCCGTCAGACATGCTGTGGTACATAGACGGATGGCAGGGCCAGGAGTGGAGTCTAGGCTGTGCAGTCTAGACAATAAACTTGGGAGTCACCAGCATAAACCTATTTGATGGCTGGGTATGGTGGCACACAGCTATGGTCCCAGCACTTAGAGGCAGAAGCAGGAGGATCCAGAGTTCCAGGCCAGTCCAGGCTACATAGTGAGACCCTGTCTCAGAAAAACAAGCCAAAAACCACATTCCTTCCCTCACTGTTTCTGAGGGTCAGGAATACAGGAGCAGCTGGCTGGTTCTGGCTCAGTCTCTCCTTAGATTGCAGTCAGGCTGGTCAGCTAGGCTGCAGTCACTGCACGGCTCCATGGGAGCTTGAGAACCCACTGGCAGGCTCATTCCTGTAAGTTCTGGCCAAAGGCCAGGTCTAACTCCTAACCATATGTGCCCATCAGAGGTCAGAGAGCTGCATCCAATGTGGATGCAAATCCCAAATTTTGGGAGCCTAGGCTTGGAAGCGAGGTACCGTCACTTCTACCACAAGCTGGTGGCCACATAGACCAGCTCATATGTAGGAACAACACAGAAAGAAGACAGAAGGCAGGGCTCTCTGACTGTCTTGCAGGTCACTGTCACATGGGCACAGAACAGGGTCAGAACCTGACAGGTGCTTGGTGGTCAGGGAAGGCCCAAATGGGTGGGTGGCTCTGATCGTGTGGTGGTGTACCCAGAGATGTCTGGGTAACCAGGAGCCACAGGGGGTTTTGTTTTGTTTTGTTTTGTTAGCCTAGGTGTTTTCAGAGATAAGTTGAGATGTGATGGGCTAAACCAGACCCCAGAGCAGACCCATGCATTTTGTGGCAGTGATGACTGTTTTCTGTTCCCTCAGCCTCCGTCTGGCCTGCTGCTCAAAGGTTCAGTTCACAGAGTGCACCGTTTCCACAAAGGTAATATCAAAACGTGGGTCTGGTGGCTTCCTTTCCTCCTTCTCAAGTTCAGACTTCTTATGTTGGGTTTTTGAGAATGTTTAAACTTTTGACAGGCTTCTCAGACCTTTAAATAGAGACAGAGCTGTGAAGGCCAGGGACAGAAGTGTTTAGGCCTCCCTTGCTGGCTGTTGTCACGAAGCAAGATTTATGACCAGGAAGCTTGGCTCGTGAGAGGCTGTGTCAGAATCTCTAGGAAGAGCACTTGCATCATTTAGAAAAGCATAGTCCTTATTAAAATGTGACACTTACAAAACATTCTAATTAATGTGAACTGCAGAAAGCAAATTGGACAGTCACAGTCCTCAGTAGGAGTAAGCAGTAGCAGCAGGGCGGAAACGGGAATACCCATAAGGAGGTCAAGGGTTCAATGCCAGCCCAAGTCCAGCAGCCAGGGACAGCCTGCAAGGCACTGGCCTTCTTGGGTGGAGGTCATGTCAGCACTGATCCATGCAAGTCTGCCAGAATTCAGCAAAGGCAGACATTTAAAGAGCTCTGAGCCAGGGCCCTGCATGGCTCAGAGTGGTAGAGCGCTTGCCCAGTGTGGGTGAGGCTTTGGGTTCCATCTGTGGCACCTGGCATATAGCTGCAGTCAAAAATTGCTGCTTATGTGAATAAATGAATAATATTTTTTAAAATTGCTGCTGACAGCTGCTGCTGTGGCACCAGCTTCCTCCGCAGCAGGAGACTCAGCGCCTCTGACTCTCAAAAGGAGAGGTGGAAGTACTGGGTCTGAGAACAGGAAGAGACCCCATTGTTCTAGATGGGCCTGTTCTCCCCTTTCCCCACCTTCCTGCCAGCCTCCATTGGTCTTCATCTGGCCTGTCATGCACAGCCAAGGAGGCCAAATGTCACACGGCACAGAGGCTTTTAAAGAACAGCTGTTCCTCACCCCTCAAGGTCATTGCCATGAGTTCATGTTCCCAGGGGGCTCCAAGCCCAGCAGGCTGAGGAAGCATCCATTCATTGTGTGCAGACTTGTGCAGAGCCCTCCTGTGTGCCAGTGACAGGCACAGTGGGCTGGTCCTGGCTTGAAGCCTGCAGGTCACCCTGTGGAACTGAATGCTGAGAACTCAAGCATCTTTAGTGTCTGATTAGCCTCTGTCCTAGGGTTACACCAAAGGTGGGGGTGGTCCTAAAGAGCCAGTCCCTCAGGGGAAGGTGGCACAAACAATGTATACACACATAAATAAATGTAAAAATGGTAAAATAAGCCTGCAGATGTGTGTGTGTGTGTGTGTGTGTGTGTGTGTGTGTGTGTGTGTGAGAGAGAGAGAGAGAGAGAGAGAGAGAGAGAGAGAGAGAGAGAGAGAGAGACAGTGCGCGCACGCATCCAGGCTGGTGCTGTCCATGTGGGAGGACAGCTCACCTTGACTGGGAAGTGGAGTGTTGAACAGGCCTGAGTCAGGGACATGGATCCTTGTCCCTCCTGACACTTCACAGAACTGTTTTTTCGGGGGGTTTAAGCTGTCTTGTATGTGCATGTGATGTTTATGAAATGTTTGTTACAGATATGTTCCTAAAACCTCCCTGAACTCACCACCTTGGCCAGAAGTTGTTTTGCCAGACCCAGTGGATGAGACTAGACACCATGCAGGTAAAGACTTTGTGGGGAGTTAAAAGGAAAGGGAAGTGCTGAGCGCCCACTTCAGTCAGCCACCAAGCAGGTTCCACATTGTGGGTGCTCTGAGACACAGCACAGTGTAAACACTCATGTTCATTTTTGCCAATGAACACCAAAATTAAAGAGGCTCATTCAGTGAACAAAAGCCCTCAGGCCACTGTTGGGTTGCAGACAGGTGAAGCAAGAGAAAGAGAGCGGTCCACCTCTGTCTCCCATTGTAGGTGGACATGGGGATTCAAGGACAGAATTCTCAGGCTGGAGGAGTGGCTCAGGTGATAGAGCACTTGCCTGACAAGCACAAGGCCCTGAGTTCAACCCCCAATACCACCAAAAACAAAAGAGTTCAAGGCCAGCCTGGCTAACCTTGGCTCAAAAAATCCGACAAACAAAAGAAACGATAGCAGAAGAACTGAGCTGATGAACTGAAGCTGGTGCCACCCTGGTGCTGGAGGGATGTCCAGGATATCAGGCATTGAGGCCACATGGAGCCCACATCAGGAGGGACAGTGTGGCTGGCCAGTTTCCACCACATGGAAGAGCTTTCCAGAAGCTAGAAATCCACGCATTGTTGAGTGGGATCTGCTGGTATTTGTGATACTGCTTCGGGGACTGTACAAGATAGCGCTGTCCCTCAGGGTCTGTAGACTGGTTGCAGAACTTCCCGCAGATACCAAAATCCAAGCTTGCCCAAGGTCATTTTGTAAACAGTGAAGTATCTACATACACACTGCACACTCCTCCCATATGCTTTCAACCAACTCTAGCTTGCTTTTGTGCCCAACATGAGTGCCACTAAGTAGTTGTTCCACTATTTTGTTTAGGGAATTATGACAAGGAAAGAGTCTGTATGTGTTCAGTACAAATGCTAGTTCTTTCCTGAATGTTTTCTACCTGAGATTGAATTCATGGTGTGGAACCCAAGGGTACAGCGGCCAACTGTGCATTGAGAGTTCTAGCCTCACTGCCAGGTGCAGCCTGTGCCTTGACTCCACGTCCAGGAGCTATCATGTCTTTCCTGTATGCCAAGCCCAGGCCAGGGGTTTGTGCTCAGTGAGTGCATGTTCAGAGCAAAGGTGGGGCAGGGAGGGTGGGGGTGGAGAATGACACGCAACTGTGGCCCGAGCTGGGGCAGTGACAGCAGAAAAAGAAGGAGCCACGTGAGGGACAGTGCAGGTGAGACCCACCTAGCTCACTGGATGTAACACAGGTGCACTTGATGCACAGGCCTCTCCCTTCACTTCTCTGGGTTTGCCCATTCTCCAGCCTACTGGTCTTAATAACCAACAGGAAAAACAAGGTGGAGGTCCCGCCCCACCCCAGAGCTGTGGCACTCTAGAAATGGAGCCAGGCCCTGCTGTGTGTTAGGCAGAGACCCACAGGAGGCCCTCCTCTGTGGGTCTGGGGAACCTCGTCTCCAAATCCCATGTGCCACAGTGCCAGCATTCCTGGAACAGCAGTCGGACCCTGTGCCTGGTGCCTGTGCGCATAGGATGGGTGAGCTGGACTCAACAGCCTACAGTGTGCTCTGCTAACTAGGGTCCAGCCATCACATCAGCCCTAGAACCCCACACCAGGCACTCCACATCAGCTGCCATGGGAAGTTGGATGGAGGACTAGGGTGAGCTGCTACCTCTCCAGGCTGTGTGACTGTGCCTGCTTCCCCCCAGATGTCGTGAGGAAGGTGAATGAGCTGATCGCCAGAGGCCAGTATGGCCGGCTCTTTGCTGTCGTGCACTTCGCCAGCCACCAGTGGAAGGTGACCTCGGAAGACCTGATTTTAATTGAAAATGACCTGGACATCAAGTGCGGAGAGAGGATCCGAATGGAGAAGGTGAGACTGTCCTGTATCCTGTAATTCAGGAACCCGTCACCAGATGGAATCCTCGTTTCCCACTTCATCACTGAAGAGGTTTCCTCACTCTGAGCTGAAGGCCAGCAAAGCTGCAGTGGGGGTAGAGCTGAGAGGTGACCTGGCCCAGCAGTCAGTCTCCCCCAGGGAAGCAGCAGCTTCTCTGAGGACAAGAGTGCAGTCCATTGTTTGTCCCACGCCTCATTAGTGCGTCCCATAGAAGACTGCTGGAGCTCGGTGCAGGGGTGTCTGGTGGAGGCCGTTTCTCTTAGCCTGAGGTGAGAAACCTAACTATGAACCAGTAGCCCCCAAAGCTCTCTTCCCCTAAAACGAGGTTGTGACTTTGTGAGCGCAGACACATTGCTCATTTATTGTGGTTCTTGAGATGGGACCCAGGGACCCAGGGCCTCCTGCACACTAAGTGCACAGTCTACCACTGAGCTACACCCCAGCCCCAACCTTATGTATTTCAGACATTAAAGAACACGTGCGCTCAGGCTGGGGGTGGACTCAGTGGTAGAGTACGTGCTTAGCATGTGGGAGGCCCTGGTCCAGTCACCAGCACCAAAAACAATGTAAATAAATAAAGTAGGACACACTGCAGTGTAACTATAGCCTTTCGAAAAGCCATTACATCTGGGCGCTGGTGGTTCACACTTGTAATCCTAGCTACTCAGGAAAGAGAGATCAGGAGGATCATGGTTCAAAACCATCCCAGGCAAATAGTTCTTGACACTTTTTCTCAAAAAACCCTTCACAAAAAATAAATAAATAAATAAAATAGGGCTGGTGGAGTGGCTCAGGGCAAAAGCCCTGAGTTCAAGCCCCAGTACCGCAAAAAAAAAAAAACGAGAAAGAAAGCCATTACAGGCCATCTCTTGATATCTCAGAAGCAATAGCTTTCAGGACTCCTCTGTAGACACCCATAAAGATGCATGGTCCTCAGGCCCCTTACGTGAAATGGCGTGGTGTATGCACATAACCCACACAGACCCTCCCCTGCACTTTAAACCGTGTCCAGATGCCTAACTTACCTCACATGTGGAAACACTGTGTAAGTAGCTGTTACACAGTGTTGTTTAGAGAACGATGATGAGAAAAGTCTACATGTTCAATGCATTTTCACATTTTTTCCCAAATATTTTCAACCCATAGTTGGTTGAATTTGTGGATGCAAAACCCAAGGATACTGTACTTTGAAATGTTTTCACATGAACCAAAAATTCACAGAAAGCCCGTCAACATAGATTAGATGGGAAATCCAACAGTAGAGAACATGTCATGCTGAAATTAACTCTAAAAATACTTATTTTTCTTGTCATTATTAAGTACATTATTTGTTGATATTATTATATATTTTGCTAAGTTAGCCAGGCATGGTGGCTCACGCCTGTAATCATGGTACTTGGGAGGCCAGTGCAGGAGGGCCATGAGTTTGGGCCCAGCCTGGACTGCATAGTGAGGTCCTGTCTCCAAAAAAAGTCCCCCAACATGTAAAGCCTATTGCGCATGGGATGCAAATCCATTTCCATCTGCCCCCACAAGCTAGCACTGTAGTCCCCAGCTTGGAACTGGGCCTGCACTGAGAGTGCAGGTGAACAAAAACCTCAGTACTGTGAGCTTCCAGAGACATCACGGCACCACAGTCTTGCTGTGTGTTGTTCTTAATCAGCTTAGGTAGAAGGTTAACAGTTAATCTGAACGTGTAACCATGACATCAAACAATTGAATTTCATGCAGCCTGCGCCCAAGGGGCTGGGCATTCACACAAGACAGCCCCCTCGTTACTGGCTGTATCCCCTCCTCATCAGTGCTAGAGGAACAATTAGTCGGTAGCAGATCGGTCCTAATCACAGTGTTTTCAGTTTCAGTGTGTCCACATCGCTTCCTGTTCCTAGTGACTGGTGTAGGACTTTGTCAGAAGGAATCAGTGATAAATGCTCCTGTCTCATTTTCTCAGGTCCTGCTGGTCGGGGCAGACAACTTCACGCTCCTCGGCAAGCCACTTCTCAGGTAAGGAGCTGTTCCGTGCTAGGCTCTGTCCCCTGAGCACGACACAAGTCCATGTATCTATCATGGGTGTTTGCGTCCCACCATTGCTCTGCTGCCAATTCATTACAGTATGTCCATCAGGACTTTTCTGACGCACTCCACAGAAGTGTTCTCTGTGCTTTGCTTCTTTATAGTTCTCAAGATGATTACGGAGAGGGTATAAAGCTCATAATCAGCAAAAGAGACACTGCTTCATTGTGGGGATTCTCATTTTAGTTTGTTTTCTTTTGGTTTGGTTTTTGGTGGCACCGGGGTTTGAACTCAGGGCCTCATGCTTGCCAGGCAGGTGCTCTACCACTTGAGCCACTTCACCAGCCTGGGATTCTCATTTTAGGATCTGTACTAAGGTATAAGTCAAATTGAGAACTAATGAAGGCACAAACACGGCCTCTCATTTTCCCTCCTTCTAGTAAAGACCTTGTTCGAGTCGAGGCCACAGTCATTGAAAAGACAGAATCCTGGCCAAAAATCAACATGAAATTTAAGAGAAGGAAAAACTTCAAGAAGAAAAAAAGTAAGTCAGACATGGTGTACCTGGCATCCTATGGTCCCACCACTGCGGTTGTCACCTATGTCCTGCTCCTGGGGCCAGCCAGGAAGAGGCATTCCTAACAAGTGCACCAGGGTTGTGCAGGGTGAGGAGCCCCTGAGGGAACTCCCACTGCCCAGCTGTGACCCAGCCAGTCACACAGTAGCCATGAACTCTCACCCGCCTTGTGACTCAGCATAACACGTACCACGAGACTGTGAGGGACGCTGGTGGCATCTGGGGTCATGCTGGAGATCTGGAAGCAGCTCGCACATCCACCATGGGAGACAGAGGCACAGAGAGCTCTCTGGGTGGAGCATTTTGTGGCACTGCACTCCTCAGCACGGGGCTGGGCTCAAATCCTGATAGGACAGTGCTGCCAAGCGAGACTGACACTCAGGCACTCTCCCGGTCATGGGTAGAATGGAACAGAAATGCTTTAAAGAGACCTGGGACCCAGGACACACTGGCGTGACTGCCTTTGCAGGGCAGCGGGGGAGCAGAAAGAGGAGCACAGGTGGAAGGTGGCACAATGTGCAGTGATCTTGTTTCTAGTTGGTCATCCCATAGGCCATCCGAGTGTTATTCCATCCTCCTGATGCCACATTAAATCCTTTTAAGGGAAACTGCCTCAGCAGGACGGAGGCGGTCAGTGCAGTGTTCTGAAGGCCATTAAAGAGAGGTGACCAGAAGGGTCTAAGGCCAGGGCTGGGACTGGGCTGGGCAGGTTTAAGGAGTAGGGGGCTTTTGCTGGAGGAAGAGCTCATCCAAAGACTGGAGGAAGACAAGAGAGGCAGGGCTCCCCAGGAGGCTGCCTAGGGAGAGGCTGGAGGATGGCAGCCACTAGAGAAATGTTCAGAGTGGGTAAGGCCTGAAGCGCCAGTTGCCTGTGGGAGGGAGCAAGCAAAGCAAGAGACGGTGAAAAGCAAAGGCTGCCAGACAGGACCAGAGCCTCAGCTGGGAGCTGCCCCAGGGGTGGTTCTGGCAGGTGCCACATGGGGGCTGTGGGGCCACCGGGTGAGGCTGAGAAGAGTCGGGGTTAGTTCACAGGTGCCGGCTTCGCCCTCTGGGTGCTGCATGTCTCTGTGGAGGGCACAGACAAGCCATATGATGGGTAGGGGGGAAATAGATGGACCAAGGTCGGGGTAGGTGGAGGGCAGGACAGTGGGATGTCACCCAGGATGGCGGATGGCTGGGCTGGGGAGGAGGGGGTCCTCCATTCAGTGGGGGAGCTGGTGCCTGGGCATGGATGTACCACTGGATGTCCTGGTACACAGTGCAGGAGGAGTTTGGTGGTGATAAGGGACAGGACAGAGAACACCAGCTTCCATCTGGAGAGCAGGAGGGTGGGAGGGGGTGCAGCGGGCTCCTGGAGCAGATCCACTTTCCCTGCCTTACTCTGAGGGGCAGGTACATCCAGGACAGCAAACTGTGGGGCAGATGGGATCTCAGTAAAGTAAGTCTCAGGCCTGCTGCTGCTGACCACCTCCCCCACCCATTCTGGAGGGGAATATGCCTGGAAGCCAATGTGCTTGGCCTTGCTCTCCCCATAGACCCTGACTCACCACTAGTTACCTGCTGTGTTCCAGTCAGATACCTGGCATTGGTCCCAGAGCAGCAGGTGTCCATAGCAGGTAGAGGAGGCCTGCCCTGGCAGAAGCCTCCCCAGGACACCAGCCTCATGGTGACCAGCAGGGGGCATTGTTATGTGTGCCCCAGACAGTAGTGCCACAGCCTCTCCTATCCATCTGTCACTCCCAGGTGGCCTCGGAGTGAGCAGATGGGTCCTTCCCGCCTCCAGAGCTCAGGGACCAAAGTGTGATCTCAAGCGTAGAGGCGAGCATGCAGCCATGAGGCCTCTGGTGTTTCAGCCAGAGGAGCTGCAACAGCTGATGCAGCCCTCAGAGCGAGCAAGGCACAACACGAGAAACACAGCCATGCAGGACAGAGGACGGAGCCAAGGGCTACGCTGTCCAAGGCAAGCTGGTACCAAGGCCGGTCTGGGCAGAGCCCTCACCGCAGCTAGTTCACAGCCAGTAAGCTCTGGCTGAACCTGTGACAGCGTGCTCTCTCTTTCAGTTATCGTGACCCCCCAGACCGTCCTCCGGATTAACACCATTGAGATCGCTCCGTGTTTGCTCTGATTGCCAAGCTGGTATTTAAGACGTGTAAAAATAAACTTGTGTTTCCCAAGGAGCCTGAGTTTCTGTTTGGCAGAGTAAGTGCAAATCTGAGTGGCGCCACTAGGAGGAGAAAGCAGCCCCGGAAGGGTGAGGAGCATGATCCGGGGGGCCAGCAGCTAATGAAGACCAAAGAGCACTCTCAGCGCAGGGCTAAGGGAGTGATTGGGCTCACTTTGCACTGGGGTGAGATGGACAGGAAGAGGAGTGAGTTCCAGCCCTGAGTTACCAAAAGCTGCTCCAACAAGCTTCTACTCTTGTACCTTTGCCTCACTTGGTCTGGCAGGGAAGAGTCGCCGTGCAGGTCCAGTGGCCTTGGGCAGTGCAGCAGGCAGCCAGAAGGGCAGGCCAAGCCAGATCCCAGAACTGAGGAGAGATGCTGGGGTAGGCACAGCACATTCTGGGGACTGACTGACAGTGGGGGGCAGAGGGGAATTCAGCTGGCTCCTGACAGCAGCAGGCAGCTGGGAAGGGCTTGGACTGCCTGGGTCTGTTATGCATGGGTCAGGCTATGGCCTGGAGGACCCTTGGGAAGATGATTTACGGAAGAGGGGACGAGATCACGAGCCCAGACCTGTGGTCTACAAAGATGAAGAAAGGAAGGACCTGGAGGGAGCTGGGAGGAGGGACTCAGGTGACCCCAGGCCCCTGGTTACATGCCATCCCGGACAAGAGTCACTCACTGGGCTTTCAAGTAACACAGAGCTGTATGACCATGGTAAACAAAATGTTCACCTCCATATTTCCCACCAATGCCTGGGAAGTCACCCTGAGATCTGAAAACAGGAAAATAAGGAGGTCCTTCTGCCAGGTACTCTTGAGCCAGATGCTAGTAGCCCTGCAGGACACCCAGCCTGGCTCCCTGCCTCACCCCCTGTGTCAGGGAACTCTCCTGTCAGGTACCCCTCCTGTCAGGTACCCAGCCCTCTTCTGGACACCAGAAGGCCTTGCCCTCTGGGTGTATTGGGGTGGTACCCCTCTGGCCACACTTGCCCCTGCAGCCTCCATGTGAAGGAAGGGGCCACTGGAGAGCCAGCCAGACTTCAGGGGCTCCACACTGGTTGGGGGCATGGCAGGAAGGTGGGGGAACAGAACCTCAGGTGTGGAATGTGCCCCCTGTGTCACAGCTATGTCTGGAAATTCTAGCAAATTTCTAATGCTCGTGTGTGTCCATCTCAGGAACTGAGGGTCCTGGCATTCTCTCCCCTTACCCCCCACTGTTTGGGTTCCTCCCAGCAGCCCAGGCATCATTCAGTATTCTTTGACTTACACACATCCATACTATTTTTTTGGCCACGCCAGGGCTTAAACCCAGGGCCTCACACTTGCTATGAAGGTGCTCTACACTTGAGCCACCCCCATGCGTCTTGTGCTGAAAATGCAGAACAGGTTCTGGAAATGTCTACTACAGCCACCTTGACCTAGCTTGGCCCCCGGGCTCTGGCTGCCCTCACTGGAACACTACCTTTGCTCCTCTCCCCATCTTCTCCCCTGGACTGCACACCTTGGCTGTCCTTTTGCAGAGTCAGGGCTAGTCCAAGCCACTGCCACCCCACAATCTTACAGTATGGAAGGAGAGTGGAAAAAGGAAGGACACTGCACATGGGGTATCCCAGCCTCTGAGCACTTGGGCTTCGATTGGACCCCAACTCTATTACCAGTCATCCCTGGGTGCCAAGTGCTGTCCACATGTTTCCATACCCAACAATGGGAACTAATTTTAGAACCTTCCATGGAGCGTCCTGTGATAACTACGTGGATTAACACAGGCAAAGATTTTTGAACTGTGCCTGCAGGTACTGAGAGCTCAGCATGGCAGCTATTGTCACATTACCATTAGACAGTGCTGATGGGGACACCTGCACCCCCATCTGTGACATCCCCCCTCAGTTTTCCATCCTTCCGTCCCACCACCCCAGGCCTAACACCCACCTGCCATCTTGTGCCTAAACCATCCCTAGCTGCTGGATGCAGCTGGGCCATCCTCCCCTTGGATCCCCACTGTCTCAGGACAGTGACATCTGCCCACATCACCTGCCTTTCTGTGACCTTGATACCCTTGTGCCGTGTGACCTGGGGCATGCCACACAAAGGCCCCAGGCCTCAGTTTCCTCTTTCATAACATGGAACACCAGCATGACCTTAGTTGTGAATTAGTCCTGATGATGATATCACAGTCCTGATAGAGTAAGAAAAGCAGATGGAGCTGCCTGGACCAAGCCATGTCAGTGGGTTCCTTCCAGGTCTCTGTCTCTGTTCCTGGCCTATCCCTTCCTGATATCAGCACACATGTGTTGATATGTCCACAGGGTCCTCCCTGTCCCTGAGGACAGACAACTCTGGGAGGGGGTATTTATCAGTTGGATTTCTTTTGGTTTGGGTTTTTGGTGCTGGGGAAGGAACCCAGGGCTTGCACACACTAAGCACTTGCTCAACCATTGGACCACGGCCAACCCATAAGTCGTTTTAGTCACTAATATAAATCCACCACCAACCACCACAGCAGTTGGCATTCTGAATGCATGGACATCTCCCTGGGGATCCCTGATTCCACTCCACTGTGAGCCAGAGTCAGATGTCATGGAGGGCTGGAATGGCTCCTTCCATGAAATGTAGCTGTCTATGGGGCCAAACTCAAGAGGGCTGGTGTTGGGCAAAGCTGGTGGCAAGAGATGATCACCACCACCAGGCCTGGTTTCAGAAGACACACATGTGGACTGTACTGTGATGGAGACCAAGGGTCAGCCAAGGGCTACACAGGACCCCGGCTCACCCCCTTTGCACTTCACTCTGGGGCCCCGAAACCAGAACAGCAGCTGCAATCATTTTTCCTCCCAGCCTGTCCATAACTCAGCCCTCAGCCTTGGGGCCACAAACCCGCAGCGGCCCACAGAGATAAGAGAAAGACTGGAAGCCTGGGTGGTGTCCTTTGACCCACCTCCTGGGCACACACCTCATGCCTCTGAGGCAGAAATGGGAGTCGGGGTAGAAGTGGTTGTTGTCCGTGGTGGTGGTGGTGGTGCTGGGATGGAACCCAGGGCCTCATACATGCTAGGCAAGTGCTCCACCACTGAGCTACATTCTCAGTCCCTGTCTGCCCTTCCAAAAAGATTCAGCCTGCTTTCCTTCCCTTTTCCTCCTGCCCATGGCTGCCAGGAGACACAGAGGTCCTCCTTAAGCCGCAAGCCAACCATCCAAGAACATGGTGTATTATACAGGAAACAAATATGAGGGGCTGGCCCCCCACCCAGGTTAGTCATAAAAGTTCAGGTCTAGCAACACCTTTATCAGATTGTCTCTGGAAATGACCTGAGGACAAAGGCCACCTCATCAAGGAATCCGTTCAAAGTAAAATCACATAGCATGGGGCTGCCCTGCACACCAAAGAAACAATAAAAGATTTAGACCCTTTGGTTCCAGAGTGAAGGACTCTGGAGCCATCGCTGTGCCCTGGGAGCTCTTGTCTGTCTCCAGGGACTCCTAGTGACTTTTGCTGGGATTACAAACAGGTGCCACCAGGCCTGTCCTCAAGCCCCTTTTGATGGCACCTGAGTTCATGCTGATGAAAGGACTTAGCATGGGGCCTCCAGACAATCTCAGAATGGGCCAGGTCCAAAGATTAGAAGACCGGAACTTTCAGCCCCACACACAGACCTCTGGGAAGGGCAGGGCTGGAGATGAAGCTCCACTGAACTCTATAAAATCTCCTGACCTGCAAAATTGACAAGCTTCCTGGTGGCTGAGCAGTGTGGCAAGTCCAGAGAAGGTGTGGCAGCTCCACGCCCTGCCCTGTGCACCTCTCTGGCTCTTCCTGATTTGTACGCTTTGTAATAAACTAGTAAACATGAGTGAAGTCTTGCCCTGAGCTCTGTGAGCTGCTCAAGCACCTAATCTAACATTAGGAGGGGGCGTGGGACCCTCAATTTGTAACCACCCTTGTCAGGAGTGCCAAGGACTGTAGGTATAGGGGAGGTCTATGGGGACTGAGCTGTGTCCACTTGTGGCCAGGTAGCCAGTTAAATCATAGGACACCCAGTGTTGTGTGGGAAATGCTTCCCATGGAAAACCCACACCTCTGATGTCAGAGCACTGTGTATAGAGCCAGAGGGTTTTCTCAGGAGTGGAGTCAGAATCAAGATTTGCTAAAACATCTCCTTCCTACCACCACCAAATTGCCTGGAGGCAGAGACCCGGGCCATTCAAGATTAGGCTTCACAGAAATCCCCTCTCTGGCCAAAGAAGGCAATTGCTGTGGAGGTGTCATGGTTGTTAATTCTGCCTTACAAGAGGTGCTGAAGACTGCCCTCATCCTTGAACCCTTGTGGGGTTCAAGAAGCTGCCAAAGCCTTGAACAAGTGCCAAGCCCATCTCTATGTGCTGGCACCCAACGGTGCTGAGCCTGTGGAGGTCAAGTTGGTGGAGGCCCTGTGTGCTGAGCACCAAACTAACCCCATTAAGGTTGATGACAACAGGAAACTAGGGGAATGGTCAGCGTCTGCAAAAGTGATGGAGAGGGAAAATAAAGTTGCAGTGTGTGACGGTTAAAGACTGTATGGGAGTCTCAGGCCAGGGATGTCATCATCAAAGAGCACTACAAATGCAAGAAATGAACAAATCAAAATTCTTGACTCTTAAAAACAAATTTGCCCGAACAGCCTGGTTCCCAGAAACCTGTGGTATGGAAAGATGGACAAAAGGGCAGGGGTGACATAGCTTTGATTCCTGTCCATGTGGTCACCCTTGCATGGAAAGCAGCTGCCCCAAGGTCAGCACTGGAGGTGAAAGTCACCAGTGACTCTAGAGACGTATCCAGCTAGGGAGGTGGGTCACTGCGTGCATGAGAAATGCAGACCAGTAAGAAAAAAGCAAGACCCTGACCCC